GCCCCTCGAACTTCTCCAGGCCGCTGAGAACACCCTTGGGGATTCCCAGCCCCCATGGCAGGAACTTGAGTAATGTGATGCCATTGAATTTCTTCCCGAAGGGGCTCCACGCCAGAATGGCCGGGACCGGCTTGTCCGAGTTGGCGGGCCGATAGATGTCGCAGTAGAGAGTGCTGCCGTCTCGGACTTGGATTCCCACGTCGTGGGAGGCGTGGATGTCGCAGGGCAGCGGACGTGAGCCGTCTTGACTCCAGCCTTGGGGGAGAGTTTCCTCGCGGAACCCAAAGGGCTGGTAGTTGTTTCTGCCCACGGTGGGCTTGTTGATCGGACGTGTCGCGACCGGCACGGGGGAAGGCATTGTGATCGGTGCCCTTCTGGTAGGTTACTGTTTGTTCCTCCTGGACCAGGTGAGGGCGCTCCCCTTCTTTTGAGCACTTCCTGGTGCACCGGTCCTGAGCATGCTTGCTATTCCCCACGCCAGATGGGCCCCACTGGTAATTGAACGTCACATTGTTTCCCACTTGCAACTCCTCCAGGTATCTGACAACCGGGTTGTGGACATTTGGAGTTGGCCGAGGCTGTCATTAGCGTGGGATAGATGGTTCATGGTTCGTGGTTCGCCACCTCGGCCGAGTTTGTTGTACAGTACTTGAATGCATACGGAGTATTTTATTCCCAGATGGATCGGCGGGCGAGTTCGGGTGAGATTGTCATGGATCCTCCACCATTTCTGGATTCTCCACTTCCACAAGATTGCCCAGTCCTGCTGACCACCCCCACACTCAACAGAGCCACTAGACCGGATCAGCTTGAGCAACTATGTCGCAGTCCTTCGGAGGAAGGTCAATTCGACCGTGTACTCTCTGATACCAGGAGACGCCAAGTCGGATTCCGGTCCCAATGGCATGACCCTCCAGAGAGGCTATAGAAAAGGCCAAATGATACCCTCTCCCGCCGTCACTCAAGATTTCCACATCCATAGTTTCCATCTTGCTTGCTAACTTGCCAACATACATACGATCTCACATCATGGCCCCCTCCCGCATCGACACGCCTGAGGCCACTCCGGTGGCCTCGACGAAGCTCCAGTCGAGCCAGAACCCGAAACCCCAGTATGGCGACTTCCGCGACGAATTCTTCCGCAACGGCTACGCGGTCATCAAGGGCGCCTTGACGCCGGAGCGGGCGCAGGAATACCAGAGCCGGGCGCTGGACTGGCTCGAGTCGTTCGGGCTGGGGTTCGACCGCCACGACAAATCCACCTGGAAGAAAGAGAACCTGCCGCAGAGCTGGAAGGGCGGGATGTACCTGCACTTCTCGGCGGCGCACGAGAAGTACGTCTGGGACGTTCGGTGGTACGTGATCCCCCCCCCCTCTTTCAGTCACATCCAGCCCCTCACATCGACCTGAATACTGACACGGCTGCACGAAGTGAACCCGGCGTGATCGCCCCATTCGCCAAGCTCTGGGAAACGGACGAGCTGGTCGTCTCCTTCGACACGGTGAACATCACGCTCCCGCAGTCGATCGTGGGCGAGTACGACTCGAAGCCGTGGCCGCACGTGGACCAGGCGCCCGAGCGGTCGGGTATGCAGTGCGTGCAGGGGATCGTGAATCTGTCGGAGGCCGGTCCCGCGGACGGCGGGCTGGTGGTGATGAAGGGGTCGGCGCCCCTGTTCGACGAGTTCTTCGCGGCGAACCCCGTGACGGGGCCGACGCCGTGGCGCACGGCCAAACACAAGGACTTCCACCCCTTCTCCGAGGCGGACCTGGCGTGGTATACCGCGCGCGGCTGCGAGCTGGTCAAGGTCTGCGCCGAGCCCGGCGACCTCATCATCTGGGACTCGCGGCAGGTCCACTGGGCGCGGTTCGGCGAGTCGGACGTCGTGCGCACCATCGTGTATGCGACCTACACGCCCGCGGCCTGGATGACCGACGCGGACCGCCGCACCAAGGCGGAGCTGTTCGAGCACTTCGAGACCACCACCCATTGGCCCCATACCAATCTGTATACCCATGGCAAGGCGACGGTGACGGTGGATGGGGAGGAACGCGTTGATCCGTTGGAGAGAGATGAGCCCCTGACGAAGCCGGTGCGGACGGAGCGGTTGTTGAAGCTGGCGGGGGTGATTCCTTACTAGATCTTGTGTTTTGTTTTGTTTTGTTTTGTTTTGTTTTATTTAGTTTTATTTAGTTTGACAATGATACTCCTGCTATGATTGTGATTTGGATTTTCATTGCTCTAAGGTGTAGATTTCCAACTTCATCCTAATTGGACAACATTCCGGGGCAACTCCTCGGTAAGCAGTCTGCCGTTAATGCCGGTGTATACTACTAAGGTACTAAGTACGAAGACGGACGACGGAGGTAGTCTAGCATCCAACCCGTTAGAAGCAAAAGTGGATCACGTCAAGATAAGTTAGGTCTGGTCTGGTCTGGTCAACACGTGGCCATCCCCCCCCAAAAGCCGTGCACAGACTCTAGTCGCAACCGATGCAATCCATCCATGGATTCCATGGTACTCCGTAACTTGCCTGGTAAGCGAGCGCAACTCAACCCGCTTCGGGCGAGCTCGGGTGAGATGATGATCCATCCACTAATCCACTAAAACCTTTTCCTAACACTTCACTTCCCCCAGTCCTCAACAACCGCTATTATGCTCTCGGCTCCACGTTCAATTAACTCTTCCCCACCCTGTCAGTGACGCCAATGACCACCTTGGAGTTATCAACCCTACATGAGTAACATGACAAGGGGGGTGGGGGCAAGAGGGCCGGGTGCAAGGGTACACCCCCGTGGGGTAAGTTTACTGTCGGAGAGGCGAAAGTGCTTCTTCTTGGTGGAGGGAGGGAAGGAATCCTGAGATATATCTGCATTGCATCGCCTGAAACGGCGAATGATCACGCATTAGACTGGAGTTCTCTCGCAGCAGAGAATCTATCCGGAATACAGTCATGGATACCAAGGACATCGATACCACGCACGAGGAAGTGGTCAAGCCGGCCGCTCCAGACCAGCTTCAGCCACTGGGCACGGTCAAGCTGGTCGAAGATGGCGAAGTCGTGTTGATTCCCACCCCTTCACCCGATCCACGAGGTGTGGACGAACTTGCTCAATGATCAGGAAAGTGAGGGCTAACACGCCGCAGATCCTCTCAATCTGCCCCAGTGGCATAAGTGGGTCATTACCTTTGTGCTGGGAATGTGTGAGTTGTGGCTATCGTCACTCAACCTGGGATGTTGGATCTAACTGCAGAGGCACAGTCTCCGTCTTGGGAGTTCTTTTGACCTCCGGAATGGGCCCCTTCACCACGACCATGGCCGCCTACTACAATTATGACCCGCGAACGAACGATCTCATGACCTACCCGACCCTGTTCATGGGTATTGGGAACCTGATTGCTATGCCGCTGGCCATGGCCGTGGGGCGGAGGCCGATTTTCCTTGCCTCGGCTCTGGTTCTAACGGTAGGGTCCATCTGGTGCGCTGCGAGTAAGAGTCTAGGATCGCACATCGCCGGACGGGACATTCTCTCGCTGGCGGCCGGTCAATCGGAGGCCTTGTGTCCGCTGATCATCCAAGTAAGCCAAACCCCGACTACCCGCCCCCATCTCCGGTCAATCACTAAGTGACTCGACGCAGGAAATCCACTTCGTCCACGAGCGCAGCAGCAGGCTTGCCTGGTTCAGTGCTATCCAGTCGATCGGATCCGCAGCGCTGACGATCGCGACATCCTACCTCGTCATCGCTCTGGGCTGGCGGTGGTGGTACGGGATCTTCGCCATCGCGAGCGGGGTTGTGTTCGTGGTGGCCCTGTTCTTCGTGCCAGAGTCCCTGTACGACCGGCCGACCGATGCCTTTGAAGGCCGCGTCCACATCCACCACGAGGGGCAAGAGCTCAATGTCTTGCGCGCAACGACCAAGCACCCGGTCGCCCTGGACTACACGCGGTACCAAGCCCGAACCTTCCGCCACAGCATGAAGATCTACCACGGCCCCGCCAACTGGGGCGCCGCGGCGCTGTGCTGGAAGCACATGGCCCAGTGCATCCTCTTTCCCGGGGTCCTGTGGGTGGTGCTGATGAACAGCATCTCCCTGGGGATCTATGTCATCGGTGTCACCGAATACGCCCCGCTGCTGGCCGCACCTCCCTACAGCTACCCCGACACCAGTCTGGGTCTGGTCCAAGGCGGCCAGATCGTGGTCTCGATGCTCATGGTGCCGATCCTGGGCTACGGCGGCGACCGCCTGCACCGGTGGATTGCCCGTCGCCGCGGCGGGGTGGTGGCGCCCGAGATGCGTCTCATCCCCATCATCCTCCCCATTGCAGTCGTGCTGATCTCCACAATCATCTACGGTCGCGCGGGCTCGCACCCGGCCGACTGGTCGTCGTGGGCCATCGTCACCACATTCAATGGCATGTACTTCGGCTACATCGGGATCATCCTCAATGGGTTCACATACACGCTGGATAGTTACGGTGAGCGCGCCGCGCCGATCCTGGTGCTCATCTGTGCGATCCGTGGATTCATCTCGTTCGGAATCTCCTTTGGTATCACGGAATTCATCGCGCAGAAGGGCTTTCAGGGTAGCTTGGAGATCTGTGCGATCATCATGGGGGTGATTTCGGCCCTGGGCCTGCCGGTGTTTATCTTCGGGCCGAAGATCAGGTCGCTGACGATGAAGTATGCGGTTGATGGTAAAGGTGTAGAAATCTGATTAGAAGAGGTGAGCTAGAGCATGACAAAGGGTGAACTTGAAGGGAGGGGACTGCTCTACTGATTCTTGAGTGTTCTTGGTGAACAGCATCTGAATAATGTAATAATAAAAAAAATTAATAAAATGAGTACTTGTACGCAGTTACTCGTACGTGTACCCAATAAAAAAAAACACCCCCGCTTTTGTGGGGAAGGCACAGCCGAACCCCGGATTTTACCACAAATGGCAGGAGTGATGGTCACATGGCACCTGCCAATCTCTAGGCAACTTATAAGTTAGTCAGTCCAAGTAATAAAACTCACCCGCGCTCACCCGAAGTGTGCAATATCCGAACACCACTTTCTCGGATTACACTCTCATTATACTCCCCTGAATAGCAGGAGCCCCTCATTTCAACTCAAGTTCGAAACAGCCAACCAAAAACCCCTAATTCCGAGAGCCATCTCCACCCCTCATGCCCCAGCACATGCGCGAGACCCAGCGAGTGCCTCGTACGTGCATCCAATGTGCTCGCCGGAAAGTCAAGTGCTCCAAGAAGATCCCCTGCGACGCCTGCATCCGGCGCGGCGAATCGGCGGCCTGCGCACGAGAGGTCGTCAAGGTCCATGGCAAGGTGACTGTGTGAGCCCTACCTATTCTTTTAGTGGAGGGCGCGGTTCCTGATCAGCGAGTACCGTAGTGCCGTGGACGAAGAAGATTCGGATGAGAGCGAATCGACCCTTAATTGCAGGCTGGTGCAGGAGAACCTCAGTCTCAAGACCCGCATCCGCCAGCTGGAGTCCGTCCTCCAACGGCCCGAGGCAGAGACTGAGGTCTTCCGGCCGGTGCCTGCGGCAGAGCGGTCTCATTCTTCGGAGAAGATACTGAATGACTTCCAGAGGCTACCGTTTGGGCTTTTGGCTGAATCATCGCACGATGGAGGGGTCGATCCCCTTCGTCCGCGAGATGATCATGTCCTGATTATCCTGCCGGCGCGGCACTGGAGCGAGGTGATCGTGCGGTTCTCGCTCACGCATTTGGCGTGGGTTCACTGTGCCCTGGAGCCGGCAGTCTTTGCTGAGGAGCATCGTGCGTTCTGGGATCAGTTGATGGACACTGGTAATTCGAGGGCTCACGGCTGGAATGCGGTGTATTTGAGCGTGTTAGCTGTAGGTGACCTGCCGTCATGCAAGGTCCGGCGCTTGAGACTGACGTTCCGCTAGGTGGGGGTATATTTCATGAACGATGAGATGATCGAGGGCTTCCATTTCTTCCATGAGAGCTATCTGACGGGGAGATCGGGGGAGATGTCGCTCAGCAGGATGACCACGCAATTGTGTCGCATTTGGTGCGACGCTGCTGTCAAAGAGTTGGAGCACGCTGATTACGTCAGTAAGCCCAGTGTCTTGACGGTACAAGCCCTTACAATCCTCAATATCGTTCACAAGAACCTCGGACAGTCTAGTCGAGAGTACATTCTACACGGCTTGGCTGTGAACGTGGCTAGACTGGTTGGCTTGGATCGTCTTGGGGAAGGCTGCGAAATACCTCACTCGCTGCGAGACACCCAGGCTGATACGCCTGTCAATGTATATCGACGACTGTGGTGGACTTTGGTGATTGTTGATTGGTGGGTATTGGCCTTCCTTGTAGCGCGCTCAACGCTTACTGTCCTTAGGATGACTGTGTGGTCTCGTCCAATCTCAATCCACCCTGGGTCGTTCACGACGATACTAGAGACCAGCGATGAATCTTATACACCGGACTACTCGAGTGACTCCGACGTATCGTCTCCTTTCGAGTATCACAAGGCCATGGCACAACTAGCCGCCACCATGCAGAACACGGTCAGATCAATCAAGGAGTGGAGCGGCAGCATCGTACAGGCTTCCGTTAAAGAAATTGACTCTGTGGCGTCCTCCTTCCCACGCCATCTCTTCTACAATGGGACAGACACATCCGGAGTTCCGCTCGAAGGAGTCCCATCATGGATGAATGTGCAGCGCTTCTTGGTGTGGAACCTCCTCGACACGTGGCGGATCAATCTCAGCGTCGCCCTCATCCCCCAGCTACTGGGCAACCCCAACGCAGCCCACGAATTGGTCCACGCCAGCGCTGTATCAGCAGCCAAATGTATCCTGCAGCGCAGATACCACGACCCATGCTCTCACTTCCAGAAATTCTGGGCCGTGGCGTGCTCGGCGGTAACGGCCGGCACCTTTCTATGCCTCGACCTGATCTGTTTCGGGCATTTGCGAACTCCAGCAGAGATCACCCAGGCCAAAGAATTGATCCTCGTCAGCATCCAGCTGCTAGAGTCGTCATACACGGAGACACGGCATGGCGCTTTGCTCGTGCTGCGGCGACTGGCGTATCTCCATGACATCCTGCATCAGCGCCATGCGATCGACCAACGAGCCTTCGCGAATATCATGAAGTTGATGGCCTCTCCGCGTCTGTGGACCTCTGTTGCCGATACGGAATCGACTCTGAATTTCCTCTTCGGTGGATCGGACTCGTATAGTAGACCGGGTGAGGGGCAAGTGCCTGTCGATGATGACACGGGCCATCGTGGGACTAGTCTGCTGCACGGGAGTTCCAGCAGAGAAGGGTTCGAGCCTTTTCCGTTGGAGTCAGCGTCGATTCCGGATTTTGAAGATCTGTTCGGGGCATCCGAGCTGATTGACATGTCGTTGCCATGGATTGATCCGGCGACGTTGATGGCGTTCACGAGTCATGTTCCATAGAGTTGCTGTGATGAATCTGTTGTAATGAATATAAGCTGTCCGCTGCTTCTTACCTCCCTGAAGCGGTGGAAGGGTGTAAAGCGTTCTGATTGTAAATGCCATAAGATATTGCAGGAGTGGTATGTCTCTTCAATAAGGGGGAGGTTAAGCTCCATGGAGTACTCACCTTGTAAAGAACATGCGGTTGGGAAAAGAGACATGACGGTATAGAGGGTGTTGTTGACTAAAGGTATGTGACATGGGGTTTGAGGACAAGGGGAAGGAGGAGAAAGAGGACAATGCTTTTGTTCTGGGGACTTAAGCTTCATTGCCTTCAGTTGATCAGGCAGAAGGGTACCTCTTTGCCTGGCTGTCTTTAACCCGTGTTGGAATGGCACATCACGGCTTCCGGGGGTTTAGCAGCTTCTGCCGGATCTTCGGTAGACTCTGGTTCGTTGCGTTGTGGTCTGCAGTCGAGAAGGCCTGGAGGGTGAGCTTATGTTGTCTGCTAGGTATAAGTTAGTAGCACTGAGGTCAACGGTGAGAGCTGGAGGAGAGTGATGCACATTAGGAAACCAGCCGTCAATATCTACTTATCAAGTACCAGTGGACGAGCGGCGCGGAGGCAGTAAGACCTGCGCATTTGGCCGGACTTGATGGTCGAACAATGGACTTTGGATGGCGTGGTTGTTGCCTGTCCTTCTATTCACACCCGTCACTAACGTTATTCAGAAAGACCATCTTATATTCTTAAAGTCAGCCACCTAATAGTTATATAACCCGAAAACGCTCTTTAGACTAACTCCCTTAGAAATTTTGAGTAAGACCCACGGAACGCCACGAACACCGAAATATAAAGCACAACAGCCGATGAAAAGACCCAGGGTAAGCGTCGAACATCGCCACCAATTCTCACTTCATACATCTTCCGACATAGAAGAGCAGCTTAGAAGGGAAGCGCACCGCGATGCCTTACAAAGCCTCGATCGCGCGGCGCAACACCTCCAGACTCCGCTCACTCACCCCGACCTCCCCTTCCTCTACTACACGAGCGTCATCCTCCTCCCGCAAAGCCCACGCAACATCACTCCACCACCCCATCCCCACAACAGCCGCCGCCCCATCCCCCTTCCCCTTCCTCCGCTCCAGACTCTCCGTCAACCGACTCGTGTGCTCCCACTGCTTCGCCGCCACCTCGGCGCGCTCGATCACCTTGCCGGGGATCCCGCACATGGACGCACAGTGCATGCCAAAGCTGCCCTCGGCGACCCCCGGTTCGAGCTTGTACAGGAAGGTGACGCGGCGCTCGGCCTCGTCGACGTCGATGGCCATGCGCTTGGGCGCAATCTCCGGGTGGTGCTCGAACTCGGCGGCCAGGGAGTGGTAGTGCGTGGCGAAGAAGCCCAGGGCGCCGATGTGAGTGGCCACGTGGTGCAGGACGGCCTGGGCGACGGCCACGCCGTCGTACGAGGAGGTGCCGCGGCCCAGCTCGTCGAGGATGACCAGCGAGCGCGGCGTGGCCTCGGCCAGGATCTTCTTCGTTTCCGACAGCTCGACGAAGAAGGTCGACTGCGCCGCGAAGATATTGTCGTTGGCGCCGAGGCGCGACATGATCCGGTCGCAGGGGGTTAGGGTCGCTGAGGTGCAGGGCAGGTAGCAGCCGATTTGGGCCATGATCACGGCGATACAGGTCTGTTTTGGGTCAGTCACAAATTGCTTTCCTTCAACGCGCTGGAGGCTCAAGGGGATAGGACCATACCATGCGAAGAACGGTGGATTTACCGGCCGCGTTGGCACCGGTCAAAAGGTCGATGTTGGGCCGGGGCCCGCCGAGACGGACGTCATTCGGGATGAAGTCGTCGACCGAGGACAACAGGCACGGGTGGCGCAGCTCTTCGAACTCGAGCACGCTGCGCTCGTCGTCCACAAAAGTAGGGCGGCAGCTGGGGTGGCCCAGCGACGAGGATGCCTTGGCCAGACTGATCAGGCAGTCGAGCTGCGACACGATCCGCACCGCCGCCAGCCACGTGGTGTAGTTCTCGTCAAACCGGGCATAGAACCGGCCCGCAACCTCCTTGACGATCTGGCTGTGCGTCTCCTGCGCCTCCTGCAGTTGGCGGATGAGCGCCCGCAGCTCGGGGAAATAGTACCGTTTCACCTGCTTGGTGGCCGACATCTGGTCCCAGTTCTTGGGGATGTTCTTGATCTTGACGGGCACTTCGAGCTGGTAGATCTCCTTCCCGTTGTCGCGGTAGCAGATCGCCGTGGAGCCCAGCTCGCGCCGGTGTTTCTTGAGGAGGTTGTCGAGCTGCTGGTGGATCTGTTCGATGTGCTCCTGAGAACTGTCAAAGTCTTCCTCCACCCCAGGCTTCGGGACCAGGATGCCGTTCTCTCGAGCTTTGGTGCGGTCAAAGGCCGTCTTCCAGTACTCGAGCATGCTGTTGAGGTCCGGCATCGCATTGATAAGTTGTCCGATTATACCTTCCCCAGAGCCGCTCTCTTGAAGAAGACTCATGGTGTACTCAATCTGCTCGAAGCCTTCAAGGACACGAACAAAGTCTTGGGCCTTGCAGTTGGCTGCGTGGATCCGCGAGATGAGTCGCTCCAAGTCAGGCATCTTGGTTAATTGAGAAGAGAACTGATCCCGAACACTCGAGTCGGCGTTGAGCGCGTCCACCGCGTCCAGTCGAGCGTTGATCTTCTTCGCATCCACCAACGGATGGCACACCCACTGCTTGAACATACGCTTGCCGAACGGTGTGATGCAGCGGTTCAGGAGCTGGAACAAAGTCCCATCGGAGGTTCCGTCGAAAGAGTTGGCGAAAATCTCCATGTTGATCAAAGTCTGCCCGTCCAGCACCAGGCTGGAAGCCTTCTTGATGGGGTCGTACGAGGCAAAGTTGCCGATGGTGATGAGGTCACGGTCGAGCTTGAGGATCCGGAGATATTGCACCAGCGCCCCAAAAGCAGACATCGCCAGCTCTTTGTCCCGGGCCTCGCGCAGAGCCTCAGGCCACGCCTGCAGGTTGTCCCCATCTTCACAGACGAAGTAGTCGCTCGCATCAAGTTCGCGGACGGTGATATCGCCTTCCCAAAATTCCTTCCTGGGTTTCAAGTAGTTCCAGATAGTTGTCGGACCAGTATTGTTCTTCAGGATGCGGAGTGCCTTGGTGGAGACGGTAGATTTCTCGAGCAACAGTTCCTGAGGACGCGTCTGCGCCACGAAGGTCTCGAATTTGGTCATATCGGCGTCATCGACAAACTCCGACAAAAAGAATTGGCCAGTTGCAGTGTCGACGAAGGCCAGTCCGAAAGCTGGACGATCCTCAATAAGTGCCTCCTTGATGGCGACGCAGTACGTAGACATATCGTCTTGAAGCATCGAGCCTTCGACGAGTGTACCCGCAGTCAGGACGCAAGCCAACTCTCGCCTGATCACCTTGTCCTCCTTGCCGGCCTTCTTCTTGCCATCTTTCCCGTCTCTTTCGCGCATCTCCTTGCCCAAAGCCGACTCGATCTGGTCCACCCGAGCGATCTTGAAGCCCTTGGCAACGAACTGATTGGCCCAATGGTCCAGACTCATCTCCGGGACACCCACCATGCGCATGTTCACGCGATCGGTCAGCTTCAGGTCAAAGAGCTGGTGGCCAATGGTGGCGTCGTTCTCATAGAGCTCGTAGAACTTGCCCTTCTTGAAGAACACCACCGTGTCCCAGAACTTCTGCTTGATCTCCCAGTACTGCTTCTCGAACGGTGAGAACTTGGACCAAGCCAAGGGAGGTATATATAGAGTCCGAGGGTCATACTCCGGATGACCGATGGGATGGCCATCGATGTCTCGAAGATTTGCCAGCCAGGCGTATCGCTGCTCCGGCTCGGTAACGTGTGCTTTCTGCTTGCCATTACTGGGACGCTTAGGCGTCGTCGGTGCCGTCCGTTGTTGCCGGGGTTCGGAGTGTTCAGGGTCATACGTCCATTTCATCGCCGTGCCGCCGGTCGCTTCGGGGATGTCCAAATCGAGATCCTCATTGTCGTCGGGCGTCTGCAACGGCAGAGGGGATGACTTGATCTTGGGACGAGCAGCCGGTTTCGTGCGCCTCTTGACCGGCTTTGCCTCCTCGTCCGAATCATCAGCGACGATGAAGTCATCCAGTTCTAGGCAATGTCAGCGCTTGTATACTGTACCACGTCGAGCTTTGAACCAACCATAATCAGAATATTCCTCGCCATCTGCAGCCTCCTTGAACTCATCCTCACTCTCTACAGCTACCTTTTGACGCTTGTTGCGACTACTGCGGCCGGGACGGAAGATCTTCTCGTCGTCCTCTTCACCTTCGGAATCTGATTCAAGATAATTGACCTTCTTCCTAGCCTTGAGCAACATCACATCCGTCAGCACATCTGTACGTCCCAAACACCGAATTCTAAGAATCTCTTACCCGACGCGACGGAGACGTGAACGTCTGCTGCTCATCAACACCACCGGCCTGCATCCCCTCAACAGGTCAGTCACACCAAAACATTCAATTACTAACTTGAAGCGAGCACACCATACCTGCACCGCATTTTGCTCTTGTCTCTCATCATCGTCCTCGTCAGGTATCACGAGATCACTACTAGGCACCGGCGTCAAGTCCTGCTTGAAATGGGGCACACGGTGCTGCGGCTGCAGCGGCTTCTTCTTCTCGGTACTGCTGGTGGTGGTATCGGCTCCCGCGCGCTGGATGGAAGCCCGTTCGGCGGGCGAGGAGGCGGGCTCAACGACCTTGCGAGCCGTCGACGGGGTCGAGGGCGATGACTTCTGAAAGAATCCGAGGATGGACTTCTGGCTCTTCATGTTCTGCGTGCTGGAGGTGGTTCGTTTCAGCGCCCGGGAGGATGGAGGCGTCGCGGTCGGAGGAGGGGACGAGGCGGCGGGGGCTCCTTTGGCCATTCTGGAACGGAGGCGGGGGTCCGGATAGTATCTGGATGACTTTGTCTTTTTGAATTGTGCGTTTATATCATGCTGCAATGGATTATTGGAGGAAGGGAAGAAGGGCCAATTCCACACACTGGGAGGTGAGATGTTTTGGGGAGAGGGATTGAAAAGGCGCGCGGCCCTGGACTGGAGGATGGGCGGGCGATAAGGATATGGACGTGCGGGCCGTCGCGCGTCGGACGCGTTGAGTGGTTTTTGGGGGGTTCTTTTATGCCATCGCTCACCGCCTTGGCTGTCATATCATGCTACCACACTACAGGGTAAGTCAACTGCTAGTGACCGAGTACATGTCCATGTCGCAGTCTATTGATACACAGTATATTCGTTTTCGTATGCGATATATGTACAGGTCTCTGTTATACACTGAGAGGCGAATAGCTATCCCCAGCTTTCCCTGCTCAGGGCTTGGACTCCGCGCTCTCGGGCTCCCATCCCGGGCAGGTCAGTCCCTTCTTGGCGAATTCTTCATCGCTGATGATCTGGATGATCTTGAACTTCCACTTGCCTACTCTGAGGAACAGAAGATCTTGGTCAACGATAAACTCTTTGGTCCTCTCCGGAAGCCAGACCCTGATAGGCGTGTATTCCAGGCTGTCAGACATAGGCCCGCTTGCGCCGGGGCGGCTTCCAACATACGCCCCACCGTTCGCAGCGAGACGGTGTCCCTCACTCTTGGAATTCACCAGACCTGAACTCCAGAGGAGTTTGTGTAAAGGTTGCTTCTCGACCAGAGATCTGGGGAGCTCCATTCGGTGGGCGGGCATGTTGCTGAAATTCGTCTGAGGGGCGTAAATATTGCCGGACGCCATGTTGGCATCCTTTGCATACGGCGACTGAGGGATGGGATGGGCCTTGGGCTGGCCAGGGAGAGGAGTGGGTTCGGCAGTGGAGGATCTTGGGCGGAAGAGTTGGCGGTGTTGGAGGGCGACTGCGTGCGCCTCCTGTTTGCCGTGAATGAGTTCCACGAATTCTGCGGCCAAAGCATGCTGGGCCACACGCTTGGACGGGTCCAAAACCTGCTCCGCCATGATCTTCTCGATTTCCGGCAAGGGCAAGAAAGTGAACATCTTGAGGTATTTCTCCACAACGTCGTCGGGAGTACGGACAAAGAACTGCGATGGGCATTAGTCAACCTGAAAAGAAGATGCAAGGCGCTCTCTCATACCTGGTATAGCTCAAAGGTGGATGTCATCTCCTTGTCAAGCCATATCGCATTGCCAGCCGACTTGCCAAACTTCTCCCCTGAAGAAGTCGTGAGCAGGGGCGTTGTCATCCCGATAGGCCTATCGATTTCATCCTTCAACGAATTGCGCTCCTGCTCGTTGGCGGTGTTTCTGCTAGCCGTCTTGACGGCTTCCATGCCGAACAGAATGTTTCCGTACTGATCGGCGCCTCCAACTTGGACCTGCACGCCCCTCCGGAACAGATACCACCAGTCCCATGCCTGCATGAGAGGATACATGAATTCGGCAACCGACATTCCGTCTCCTTTCTCCAACCGGTTCTTGACGCTGCAGACGATCAGTACCCACGACAATGGCTGGCGGCGGGAAAAAAAGGAACTCACGTATCCCTCCCAAGCATGGGGCCCAGACGCATGTAAGAGCCCAGATCTCGGACGAGCTCCATGAAAGTGACACTTGTCCACCACGTATTATTGTTGGTGATACTCCGCCTCCAGGACCATTCCTTCTCGTAGCCATGTCTTCGGCCGTAAGCCTCAATGCTCTTGCCGAGCCGCTTCAGCTGAATGTGCATCGACGCCATGTTTGCCTTTCGAACCGATGCTTTGACCTGTTCTCGCCCCGCTAGTCGCCCAGTAGGATCACCGATGCGGCTTGTTGAACCGCCAAGCTGTCCTCGATGTCAGCCAGACTGTCTCGCCCGGGGGGAGGGGGGCGTGAGTGTGACTTACGATGAAGTGAACAGGCAGACCCCAGACATAGCCCCATGCCAGAACCATAAACGGTAACATATGTCCAACATGAAGAGAAGGAGCGGTAGGATCGACGCCGGCATATATACCAGCCCTCTTCTCGGTGAACACGCGGTGCAGAAGCTCCCGTTCCCTGGCGGTGGAAAAGAAGAGCGCGCCCCCGTTAGCCTGATTCTCAAGCAGATCCACTGCAATCCTACACACAAACACTCACCCGACGACGTCGTGCAACAGTCCTCTGTCTTCAAGATGCTGTGCGAAATTCTTCCGTTTCCCTTCCTTGATCTGCCGGGAGAAGTGGGCCCATTCCTGTCGGGCTTCTTCGAGCCGTTGCAAGTACCGTTGACTGATCCACCTCTTCTGCTCGGTCATGGATGGGATTGTCGTTCGGTTCAGCGTTGGACGAGGTCCGGTGGTCAGCGCGGAGTTCGCCCGCAGCACCGCGGCCGTCCGCGCGTAGTTGTGGACGCCGCATACGGTTTGGTGGGAGAGAGTCGGGATTCGAGGAACATGTAGGCGTGCCCGCTGGGGCAGCGACCCCGAATGAATTCTCATGAGTTCCGGGGTGGAGGAGAATCAAATGGGGCGATTTAATAGCCCAAAAAAAGCGTCAGGCAATTATATCCTAGGAATTTCTCGATAGCATGGTTTGCCTTCCTCCGATAAGAAGCCGTCCAGTTGCTTGTCTGGCGGAGAATTGTTGATGCGGGTGGGTCGGAGAAGCTGCAGTATGCAAATCGTGCAAATCATGCAAACTAAGCAGATAGTCCCAGATGTAGATAAGGAGAATACAACATTCACCAGGTCTTTACCTTGACTGGGACTTGATCTGCTGAGTGAACTGTTTGGTTCTAGCGCTGTCGGTGAAAAATCGATCTCTACTGATTAGATGGATATCCTTTTTTTGAAGAGCTGGCCCAGCTTCACCTGATGACACTACCGAAATTATGATTGAAGCATTAAGCATGTGGCTACTGCTACACGGATGTGTACATATCTTGAGGTGAAGAATTATATAGGCTCAACCGCTCAAGTTATACAAGCCATGAAGACGGACCTGCGCAGTGCCACGACTGCATCATTGTTCTTTTGATTGAAAACTATCAAGCACAGGCGCTCCCATAAGGAACACCCTAAAGGGCGCCGTTGGGGATAATAACAGAAATTCGGTAAAGCATGTTAGATCGATCCGTGCATCGAATTACAGCTTTGGAGGTGAATGAGAGACTCATTCCTCGGTCTTTACCGGGACCGTGACTGATTCCATCGCCTCCATCTCGGCTGCGACATCAATCGAGGCCATGACTCTCTCCTCGTCAGACGCAGTGATATGCTCTTTCAGAATATCAGCCATAGTTTCCTCCTCGATGTCAGCCAGAGTAGACTGCTCTTCCTTGATCCGTTTGTACAAATCGCCGCCCTCGTCGTGTTGAGCGCTGGCCTGCGCAAGAGGAGAGGATTCGAGTTGCATACTAGCTTCCCCGTCGCTGAATTTTCGGTTAGCATAGTTCGGGGATTCAGAGGCTCGTATGAGGGGTGGCACTTACCTATCACCTTCCTCGACCTTCGGAATAACGACTTTCGGAGCGGCTGCCTTCTTCGCCGGGGTCTTCCGGACGCGCTTGGGCTTTGGCGTCACGGCTGCTTCGGCCTCGACAGTACCACTGGGGGTGGCAGGCATATCATCAGGCGTGGCATCCGCTGCCTTGCCTCTCTTACGCTTCGTAGGAGTCTTGAGCGGGGTTGCTGCGGTAGAGGTGTTGGCAGCATCAGCAGAACCTTCGGGGCAAGCAGTTGAGAGTTCGGCCAGTCGGCGTTTCGCGTTGCGGTAGACGGTCATAGCAGACGCTGCATTTTTGTAACCGCCTCTGACAGCTATCTTTTCGTAATCGACCTTCTCTTGGATGTCAGCATTTATTCTCTCTCGGTATCTGGGTGTCAAGATTGCTTACTTTGCCAGTGGAATCACAGCACATCTGGCCGAGGACAATGAGCCTGGCTTCGTTCAGAGTCAAGCCGAACCAGCCCTCCGGCTTAGGAGCACCTCTAGTTGCCATGACTGATGTTCTTGCTACTTCCTTTTGTAGCGTGTGTTGCATAAAAAGATGATGTAGCTGTTCGAGCGGGTGTTTCTGATGAGATGAGGGGACCATGAACGTGTGAGTGTTCAGTAAGATTTGTTCTGCGAGTAAAGCTATGTGGAGAGTATGCGAGTGTAGGGGGAAAAAAGTGGTATGAGGAGAAATTTGGATGAAAGGAGAAAGTGGCGGTTTCGCTCACAAGCAGGTGGGACAGGTTAGGAACATGAGGGACATGGAGAAAAATATCAGCTTGGGTGAGTGAATGGTGACTGAAATCGGCAAAGTGTTGTTGGGACAGCACGAAGTCACGCTAAGGCGTTAACACAGGCTGGAAATGAGAGTAAAGTGAAGAGATCATGGATATGGGTCCATTTGACCCAAAAGAGATGTGGTAAAGAGTATCGTTGGTTTTCAACTCCGGAGTAAAGATGCTGAGGCTAATGTTATCCACGTCCCCAGTTTCACTAATATAAGAAACCTCCATGCCAATCTCTCACATTGAACTCCCCCTAACGCCAAATTTACCAAGACTTCCCTCACGGCGCCCTCCGCTCAATCTGCTCCCTCACCACCGGCCACAGGTGAGGATAGAATGCTGTCGACTGTTTCCCACGGTGGCTCTTGGGCGCCGCCCAGAATTCTGTCAACCCTCGAGTCCAGTACCCTTTCTTGGATTCGGGACCCACATCCTTGAAGCTCACGGGACGCCTGAGCGTGGCTTCGGGGACAAGGTTTTTGAGATGTACTTCCCTCTTTATAGGTCTAGTTGAGAACGCCATGGTCGTGATGAACAACCGAGCCGTGGGCGGAAGATTTCTGGCATAATCCTCAGCCGCCTGCCGAGACTGGCGAGCAGACATTGGCAGAAACAAGTGAATGTAGCAAACAAAGGTAGCCCCATTGTAAGCCATGAAGAGCATCGGGATCGCACCGAGAGTGAGAGCTGTTCTCTGATATTAGGCGCTGACTCCCCTCCGCGATGAGCACAATCGAGGGTTTCGAACTTACCTGCTGGGGCATACCAGTCAGGATACTCCCCACTCATGAACTCCGGCAAGATGAAAGCAATCGTTACTCCGTACAGGAGGATGCCAGTGATCTTCAATGCCGCCAGGAACATGGCTTTATGGACACCACCATTGTAGATGAGAATCACCTCGGGGGGTCCTGCCGGAATGAGATCAGCGCTGGTATCTATGCGGCGATGCAGACGAATTCGCAACAATACCTTTCCGCGCAAAGAGTTTTCCATATGCGTAGCTGGCCGGGTCGGGTTCCTTGTTATAGAACATACTCTCGGGGTGCGCTGGTCTTTTGATGAACGGATCATTCTTCGGGCTGCGAGCAGCGTTCTCGGTGGTCTTCAGCCGAGCAAACAGCTTGCTGTTGAGACTCCGCCGGACACTTCGTGGAAGTGCAGCCCGCAATTGCGGATGCAGCAGGATGATAGGCCTCATATTGTCACAGAATGGAGAAATAGAACCGGAGGTGGTTCTCAGCGCCGGGAAATCGGAGAAAGTTGAGGCAGCTCGGATAAGAACTTATCGATAGTAGCTCGAAGGCGGTCAGGCCTGCCAAATCCATGGCTGCTTCGTTTGTGAAACAAAGACTCACCTTTGGTTTTCTCCCTGACAGAGTGCTGATTCCTGTCATCCTCCTTCTGCAGGCCTCTTTCGTCTTTGACTAAACTGTGACAGTCAGGGATAGTCATCGTCTCGTGCCATGAGTTTGTGTTGACCCATATCACTCTCCCAACCCCCATCGCCATGATTCCGCTGCTGCCGCACTGTGGCCTTCTGCGCCCCTTATTGTCCACCTGCCTCGCCATTTTCCTCCTTCTCGCGTCAGGAACAGCCTACCAAACCGTCTCGGACGAGACCCTGCGATCCCTCCCGCGACCCGGGAAGGATTTCGATATCCACGATGGTGCACTGCTCGCCCCGATCCTGGTGCCCCGTGTCTCCGGGACCGCGGGCAACACCGCCGTCCTGAATCACCTTGCGGAGTTCTTCCGTACCTCACTCCCAGAGTGGACGCTGCAATTCCAGAACTCAACATCGAAAACCCCAGTCTCCAAAGGGAAGGAGGTTCCCTTCGTCAACCTCATCGCCTCCCGCGATCCGCCCGGCGCCAGCCCCGGCGACGTCGGACGCCTCACCCTGGTTGCACATTACGACAGCAAGTACGAACCGGAAGGCTTCATCGGGGCGATCGACAGTGCCGCGCCGTGCGCGATCATGCTGCATGCCATGCGGAGCATCGACAGCGCCCTGACGAAGAAGTGGGAGGACATGCGCGCCCAGGGGCAGCTGAATCTGCTGGAGGAACAACAGGGCATCCAGGTGATCTTCATGGACGGGGAGGAGGCATTCAAGGAGTGGACGGCCACCGACTCGCTGTACGGTGCACGCTCCCTGGCGGAGCAGTGGGACTCCGAGGTTCACTCGGCGATGTCCGTGTACCGGTCGCCGCTCGACTCGATCTCCCTGTTCGTGCTGCTGGATCTGCTAGGCGCCAAGGACCCCACCATCCAGTCATTCTTCCCGACCACGCACTGGGCGTACAAAAAGCTGGCCACGCTGGAGCGGCGGCTGCGGGAGCTGAAGCGGTTCCGATCCTCGGATCCCGGACGGTCCTGGTTCCCTCATCAGTCGAGAAGCGAAAACGAGATTCCGATGTACATGCACATTGAAGACGACCACATTCCTTTCCTGAGACGAGGCGTGGAGGTCCTGCATATCATTGATGCCGGCGATCGGGGCTTTCCCACGGTCTGGCACACGATCAAGGATGACGGCGAACATCTAGATATAGGCACCGTGGAGGACTGGAGCGTACTGTTCACTGCGTTCGCGGCCGAGTGGATGGAGCTGGAAGGCTTTATGTCTGGATCCGGGGACGGCGCTAGCCCCGGCCACAAGGGCTCTACTAACAGCTGGGCTAAGACGGAATTGTAAGCCTTGTCTAAACCTCAATACTGCATCAGTGCCTGGGCTGGTCCTAGCTCTAGACTGCATCTGCATCTGCATCTCCTTGGAGCCATGCTGATATTTTGTGCATCACATAGCGTCTAACTAAACCTCTGAACCGTCATTTTCCGCTACTCAGCATATATTGCGGGGAACAATCCTGCGGGTGTTAGGATGATATATCCATATATATTTATATACACACGGCTTGATATTATCCACGAAAACCTCCCTCTACAATAAGTTTCCGAGCATATAGCCCGCCATCTCCGCCAGTCCCCAAGTTGGCTGCACCACGGACCGCAGGATAGCCGGGCCCGGACAAACGCCACGCAACCCCCAAGCGACGCCGAAGACCACCGCTCCCGCCACAAAGCGCCAGTCGATATCCGCCACAGTGGCAGTTGGCAAGCTCCAAGTCTCCGCCAGCGTCGGCTTGGACGGCCCTCCCTTTTGGGTGTCTTGTCCCGGCCTGCTTGACAGATAAGTCACCATGGACGGCACGATCCCAAAGACAATCACCAGCGCCAACGAGGGATCAAAGCGCGCCGGGTCCGTGAGGCCGACGAGGAACCGCAGCACCTTCTCCGGGTCCGCCATCCCCGTGAACAACAGCCCCGTGCCGAACTGCAACCCGGCGAGGTACGCAAAAACCGCGCGCGAGTTCTCGGATCGTTTGAGGACGCGGGGCACGGCAACCCAATTCGTCGCGAAGGCTAGCAGGGTCGTGGCCACCATGAATCCGCCCTCCGCTGCGGTGGGATAGACGGGCAGATAACAGGGGCGACCGTCCGCACACGCCGGCAGAGATTGACGGCCGGGAGGGAAGTTGGCCGTGAGCACAGCGGTCGTGAAGAAGATGGCGGTGGCGATGATGGAGCGCGGGGACAGACGCGAAATCCCGCAGAGCATGTGGCCGGAGGTACAGCCTCGACCGTTCTAGACCATTACGGTAGTTAGCCGGTGGTTCCCACAATGTCAAAGTGAGAGGAAGTTGTCGAACTGCTCACCTTGGTCCCCCAACCCAGCAGAAATCCCATCGCCAGCGTCGACGCCAGCGAGATCCACGAGTTTGGCGCTGGGGGGTACGAAGGGATCAATGATGGCATGCAGAGCGCCACGGGCACCAGACTGGACACCAGGCCGGCGAGGACCGGCACATTCTCGCCGCTGGGACGCAGCAGACTGCCCGCCAGCAGGGACGAGATCCCAAAGACCGCGCCATTGTGCAAGAGGAGTCCCGAGGAGCCCTGGTAGAGGAGTAAGGCGCCCAACGAGGTATGGATCGGTGTGAACATGACCTGGGGGGGTGGGCTTCACCGTCTGACAAGCGACCGAAGATCAACGATGAAAGATAAAGGAATAAGCAAAATAGAGTCCTCCTCAGTCTGCTTTCAAATATAAGGCCGACAGATATACCGTCTCAGGGAACCATATCAATCGTGAAGATGCTGAGCCCAAACCCAGCGTAGACATGCTCAATGTAGAAAGAAGAGTACCTCTAAAGTACAAGTACAAGTACAACCCTCGCCTCCGAAGTCCCCGAAATCTCCTGAACCTCCCCTACTCCAACAACCAGCACACCACACCACCTGATCCACAAACCCCCAAAGAAAAAAAAAAAGAAGAAGAAAAGGAAAAGACGGCGATAGAGTGGGTTCGTGGGTTTGATCTGCCATGCATTCGGGGACCAGCAATCAAACTCGGGGGTGGGGAGGGGATCTCACCTTTCTTTCCACCCAGAAATCCCCCTACCGTAAGTCAAGTTAACTTTACCCGCCGCTGCATGGCCATGGAAATGGTCCCCGAACCCTACTTCTCTGTGGTTGATCATAGGACTCAAGCCCGCGGGTCGAATCTCCGCATAGCATGGCATGGCAATCCAAGAAAAGCCGGATGGGCCGGAAAGGGGTTCCTTTCCTCTGGTCTGTTTTTTTTTTCTTCTTCGGTTGGCTGGATTTGAAGTCGGTGGTCGCCGACCGACCGGCTGTATGGCCTTTGCGCTGTCCTTGACACTGCGCGTATATAGATACGAGAATTCTTGGGCCGAGAGGTGAGAGTCGCATTGTTCCCGGGACGAACATGAAAGAAGAGGCGGATCAACAACTTAATTAATAACAGGACACGGCGGACCGTACAGTTGATAATTGTGATCGGGGGTCCCATCGTCAGGTCCCCGAGAATTTGGAACACAGTGACACACAGCCCTCTGCGGGAAAAAAGAATAACTTTATGCTTGATGATCCCTCCCTTCCCTCTGCGGAGGTACTGTACTGTACCAAAGGGCTATGTTTGTGTGAAAGCCCTGAGTAGTTGCTCTGTTTAGTGTACGAACACATTTGTTTGGGATGGTATCATGGAGTGTTGGGAAGGAAAGGATGATCTTCCGCACTGTTTCATTCGGAGAATTTCTGATCACAATAGATTGATTGATAGATCCATCCTGGTTCTCAGCAAATTCCTGAATCCCTACCTCGGTTCTATATGTGGATTGCAGTGGTACTTACCACATACCAAACTACAACTTCACCTCACCAACCACATCTCTCTCCAACCGCGTCGCATTCAGCAGATGAGGCCCCAACTCCGCCAGCTTCGTCACGCCCAAGAACACCATATTCGCCTCGATCTCCTGCCGCAGGATAGCAATCACGCGGCGCACCCCCTCCTCGCCGTACCCTGCCGCAAGACCGTAGAGAAACGGCCGTCCAAGCCCAACAGCCGATGCGCCCAGCGCCAGCGCCTTGAGGACATCGGTCCCACGACGAATCCCGCCGTCCACGAAGATCTGCATTCGGCTTCCGATCAAATAGGGCGCGTGTCTGCGGATCTCAAGCAAGGTGACGAGTGGAGGTTGAGCGCTGACCTCCAACTTATCATTAGTGATTCTGAATCGGTAGATGCAGGAAGAGAAGTAAGGAGGAGAAACTCACGTATCCTGCGACCTCCCCCCATGATTCGAGAGAACGATCCCCTGCACTCCCCGCTGGTACGCCAACACCGCATCCTCAACGCACTGGATCCCCTTAATCACAATCGGCAAGTCGGTGAGGTTGCGTAACCAGGTCAGAATCTCCCAGTCGATGAACGGCGAGATAGAACTAGCCATGGTCTTTGCGACGCCCTGGCCTCGGGCGGACGAGTCTCGTGCCTGTCCCTCCCCCATCCCATCAGCATCTTTCCACCTCCCCAGCTATCCCCCCTCCCCCCCAGGAAGGTAAGAGTAAACATACCTGCACCTCCAAATTCAACCTCTCATCCATCTCCCGTTTCCCCACAACCGGCGAATCGACCGTCACCCAAACCCCGCAAGCCCCCGCCTCCACCGCCCTCCGGACCGTCTCCACCGACTTCCGTATATCTTTGTTGACGTACAGCTGCGCAAACAGCGGCTGATGCTGGGGGTTCGTGTGCGCCGCGCGCACTCTCTCGATGGGCATGCTCGCCCCGTTGGCCAGCACCTGGGCCAGCCCCTCGTGGCCCGCCGCCGCCGCCAGGGCGCATTCGGCGTCCGGATGCGCCAGCTTGGCGATCCCGGTGGGACTCATGTACACCGGCAGCGAGACCTTCTGACCTAAGATGGTGGTGCGGGTGTCGACGCCTGCCCGGATGCTGCGGAGGATGCGCGGGCGTAGCGAGACTTTGCGGTAGGCTTTGGCGTTGGCGTGCTTGCTGTGCTCGTCGTCGGCGCCGGAGGCGTAGTAGGCCCATGCGTGAGGGGAAAGGTGTTGGTGGGCGACTTTTTCGAAGTCGTGGAGGTTGATGAGGGTGGAGAGGGGAGGGGCGGGGGCTGTGGTTTTGGTGGCTACTATCTTGGGTAAGGGGCTGGGCAGTGAGGGTGATGATGGCAATGGTGAAGATGGGGATGGGGCTGAGAGTGTGCCGGGCTGGATTGTGCCTTTCAAGCATGATGGTTCAAGGGCCTCGGTGAGGAGAGACTTGTCGTGGACGGAGTCGAAGTCTGCTGTTGCGTCCTTGCCGGCACAGCGGAGGATTACTTGCGGACCGCCGGGGTGTTCGTCAATGAAATCTGTGGTGCGTCGCATCAGTCACTGTGCACTTCCTGACTGCAGAGCAGCGTGGTGCTGGCTCCTGGCTCACCGGTCACATCGTAAACAGAGCCATGGATGGCAACCCAGCATGACTGGCGAGATGAATGTCTCTCGATTTCCTCGCGTGTAAGGAATGTCATTGCATGCAATCGTTGTTTGACCTTGAGAAGCTGACCTTGAGAAGCAGTCAAGACAGGTCAAGGAGATTAAGAAGTAGGACGATAACAACAGCAGGGAGATGAGCGCCACAGGAAGCTCGGATTTCGCGCCGAGGCAAACGCGGAGAACAATCCCCGGGGTCAACAGTCAACATCCCTGCATTTCCCCCACGCTAACGGCTATTGTCTGAGGGGGTGGGGGAGAGCACTGTGCCTCATACATCAGAACCTGGGGTAAAGAGGATCTGGAACTGCAACAGGATATCCACGATCCTCCCAGACTCCACCGTGGACACAGACACAGATGCAGACCAACATGTCTGCGGAAATCTCGACGCCCAACGCTGCTCCCAAGCCCTCATCCCTACACATCGAGGACAACCAAGACGATGGCAAGATCAGCAACATTCAACACGGCGATACAGCACTGGCATTGTTTGCCACGGGCGATGAACTGCGATCAGTCGACGCAGCCGAACTCAAGCGGCTGGAGAGGAAGATAGACTGGGCAATCCTGCCTTGTCTGTCCGTCTGCTATGCCTTCTACTATGTGCGCATTTCGTTCAACCCGACTGACCAGCATGAATCACTAGGGTCATCACTAATATCATAATTACATCGACAAAACCACCCTCTCCTATGCGGCCATCTTCGGTATCAAGGAAGATCTACACCTGTCCGGCCAGCAATACTCCTGGCTTTCGTCAGTGTTTTACTTCGGCTTCCTCGTCTGGGCCATCCCTACCAACTTTCTTCTCCAGAAGTTCCCCGTGGCCAAATATCTCGGCGTGAACATCATACTATGGGGCGTCTTCCTCATGCTACAGGGTTCGTGGTAGAAACTTGGTTCTCTAAAATCAAAATATCTCTACTCATACTCGCTCTTCCAGCTGCGGCGAAGAACTTCACACAGCTTGTTGTGCTGCGAGTCATCTCGGGGGCTGCGGAGGCATGCAGGTAAGTAACAGCATCCCTGGACTCATCATGCTGCGGCTAACATCATACCAGTGATCCTGCCTTCATGTTGATCACGAGCATGTTCTACACGAGACGCCAGCAGCCCATCCGCATCGGGCTGTGGTACACTGCCAACGGACTCGGCATTGCCCTCGGAGGATTGCTGGGGTATGGCATCGGGCACATCCAGGGGGCTCTGTCCTCGTGGAAGTACGAGTTCCTCATCATCGGTGCGTTATGCACCGCCTGGGGCATCGTCATCTTGATCCTGCTGCCCGACTCCCCAGTGACGGCGCGCAATTTCTCCCCACGGGAAAGACGGTTGGCGGTGGAGAGGCTCCGCGACAACCAGACAGGCGTGGAGAACAAGATCCTCAAGCCGGCGCAAGTCCTAGAGGCGCTGCTCGACTGGAAAGTGTGGGCGTTCCTGCTGCTGGGGCTCTCTGGCAACATCCCCAATGGCGGAATCTCCAATTTCGGGACCTTGATCATTTCCGGATTCGGCTTTTCGACCTGTAAGCTCGGTGGGACGCTATACAATAAAAGGCATGAGTCTGACAATTGCAGTGGTGACGACCTTGATGCAAGTTCCCTACGGCGTGTTTATAGCCCTCATGATCCTCCTCAGCGTGTACACCAACGATCGCCTGCCGCCCAACAACCGCTGCATCGTGACCATCCTTTTCCTCCTCCCCAATGTTGCAGGTGCATTCGGACTCTGCTTCCTTGCTGAAGATAACCGCGTCGGTCGGTTGATCTGCTACTACTTAACCGGGTCGTACAACGCCTCCTTCGTTCTCATTCTTTCCATCCTGACCGCCAACATTGCCGGTCACACGAAGAAGGTCGTCACCAACGCGATGATCTTTCTCGGAGTGTGTGCGGGAAACATCGCCGGTCCGTTCTTCTACAAGTCAGACCAAGCACCACGGTACCAGCTGGGGATCTGGTCGATGATCGTGTCCAACCTGATTGAGATTGCGCTGGTGGTGATTTTGCGGATCATGCTGGCGTGGGAAAATCGGCGACGGGATGCAGCGCAGCAGCACGGAGACCCCACGGCATGGGACCGCGACCAGACGGCTTTCAGTGACCTCACGGATAAGCAGAACTTGAATTTCCGGTACGTGTACTGAGAGTGCCAGAAAGCGGGGTGAGGGGAAAGTGCATGTGCGGGAGTGGGGGGTCAAGGATCAGCGCTCGGCCTCCGCCAATGATGCGGGTGTGATAGTGCATCTTATGAATACCCCAGACTATATAGTTTTATCCACCCCCACGCGGGGGTAAGCGTGGGGAAGAAAGGGTTTGTGGAAGTAGCTCGTCATGCTGCGTGTATAAATGGGTAGTTGTAGAATGCGACGGGAGACCTTTGGCAATTCACCTGATAGTACTGTACATACACACCAAAATGGCGCGCATCAAGTCGATTGAATACTTCCGAGTCAAGCCCCGTTGGCTGTTTGTGAAGATCACCGATGATGAGGGTCAATTCGGATGGGGCGAGGCCACACTTGAGGGACACACACTGGCCGTGGAAGGCGCCCTGGATGAGATCATCGCACGAGTGATTGGCTATGAGGCAGAGTATGTTCGCCCACTTCCGCAAATGAACCAAGCTCATTATTTGCAGCGACATCGAGCATATCTGGCAAACCATCTGGCGATTAGGATTCTACCGCGGTGGTCCCGTGTTCATGTCCGCGCTGTCCGGAATCGACATCGCCCTGTGGGATCTGAAAGGCCGCCGACTGGGCGTGCCTGTATACCAGCTGCTAGGCGGCAAAGTCCGCAACAAGATCCAGGTCTACGCCTGGATCGGAGGCGACCGACCCAGTGACGTGGAGATCGCTGCGTGCGTCAACCCTTAGCCCCCCAAACCCGAGCTTCCTTCTGGATCATCACCTAACAACCCGCAGAAAAGCGCGTATCGAGCAAGGCCTGAAATGCGTCAAAATGAACGCCACCGAGGATGTCAACTGGTTGGACTCGCCCGCCATCCTGGACTCGTGCATCGAGCGCATCAAACAGGTGAAAGCTCTGGGCCTGGACGCGGGGCTGGACTTCCACGGCCGTCTGCACCGCCCCATGGCCAAGCAGCTGGCCAAAGCCCTCGAGCCGTATCGCCCCTTGTTCATCGAAGAGCCCCTACTGGTGGAGCACCCGGAGGCCATCAAGCAGCTCTCGCAACAGACCAGCATCCCCATCGCGCTCGGCGAGCGCCTGTACACACGGTGGGACGCCAAGCGGTTTCTGGAGGACGCCTCGGTCGACATCCTGCAGCCGGATATTGCGCACGCGGGGGGCATTTCGGAGACGAAGCGCATTGCGACGATGGCGGAGACGTACGATGTGGCGATTGCGCCGCATTGTCCTTTGGGTGAGTTGGCTTTTTCTTGGGGTGGATTTAAGAGGTGTGTGCTAATTCGATTTCCGCGCAGGTCCGATCGCCCTGGCGGCGTCGATGCAGGTCGCCACCTCCATCCCCAACTTTGTGATTCAGGAGATGTCCCTCGGGATGCATTATAATATCGAAGCAGGGGATATCGATCTGACTAGCTATCTGGTGGATGCGTCGGTGTTTGATATCGAGGGAGGATACGTGTCGGTGCCCAAGGGGCCAGGACTGGGGATTGAGATTAACGAGGAGTTGGTCCGGAAGATCAGTCAGGAAACTGAGCCGTGGCTGCCGAAGGAGTTCTATGGTCCTGATGGAGGGATCCGTGAGTGGTGAGTGTGCAGCTGAGTGGATGTTAGTGGCGGTAGTCTAAGTATCAACTTGTGGGGAAGGGAGAACAAGACGTGGGGGTTCCCCCGCATTGTTCTTCGACATATTTAGTAGCAATACTATTTACTCAGGCCCTGTCCCGCTCTGCCCGAGTACTCCACCATCCCTCATCCTATACAATTCCCTTTCAACAATGGACCTCTTCTCCCTCAAAAACAGCACCGCCTTAGTAACAGGGGGCACACGAGGCATAGGCCAACAAATGGCCCTTGCCCTCGCCGAAGCCGGCAGCGACATCATCCTCATCCAGGTAGGCCATCCCCCGCCCAGCCATTCCCTCTCCCCTCCCCCCTCCCCCCAATCTCTAACCAACACCCCCCCAAAGCGCGACCCCACGAACCTCACCACAAAAAACCAAATCGAATCCCTCGCCCGCAAAGCAACAATCTACACCGCCGACCTCTCCTGCCGCGCCTCGATCACCGCCCTTGTCCCGCGCATCCTGGCCGACGGCCACGACATCAACATCCTGATCAACTGCGCGGGCATCCAACGCCGGCACGCCAGCCACCTCTTCCCCGACGCCGACTGGGACGCCGTCCTGCAGACCAACCTGAGCACGATCTTCACGCTCTGCCGCGACGTCGGCCGGTACATGTTGACCCGGGACCCGGACGCGCACGGCCAGCGCGGCGCAATCATCAACGTCGCCTCGCTGGTCTCCTTCCAGGGCGGGCTGACGGTGCCCGCCTACGCGGCTGCCAAGGGCGGGGTGGCGCAGCTGACCAAGGCGCTGAGCAACGAGTGGGCGGCGCGCGGGGTGCGCGTCAACGCCGTCGCGCCGGGGTATGTGACGACGGAGATGAATACCGCGCTGCTGAATGACGCAGACCGCTCAAGAAGTATTCTGGATCGGATCCCGGCGGGACGGTGGGCGAGCCCGGAGGATTTCAAGGGGGTGACCGTTTGGCTGGCGGCGGGGCGGGCGAGTGGCTATGTTTCGGGGAGTGTGGTCGTTGTGGATGGCGGGTGGATGGGGAGGTGATATCTAGAAATCTTTGATGGGCTGCGAGGCGAGGAGAGGAAGAGGTTTGGGGCTCCAGTCTAGCTAGCATATCATACTGCGACTCTATTGTTGAAGAGTATGTCTCTACTTGGCAATTTCTCACTCGACGCTTAGACTTGACTGTCTGCTTCTTGACGCAGCACACCTATGCCAGTCCGAATCAAGCGTAAAGAACCGCGTTTCTCTGCGGTTCAATTAGACAATTAAACAATCAGATGCTCAGCGCCAGCCCATTTACCCTTCTCGAACCTCGAATCGACCGACTCTACGTCCACACGTCAACTCTAGCTCTTGGCTAAAGTAAAAGATAAGCCGCATCAAGAAATTCCGAGCCCACTTTTCATTCCATGCTCCAACCTGATCCACCAGTGGACTCCTCCCGCTATGCCACTTTCATGACGACCTTGCGAGGGCCAGGGACCGATGGCATGGAAATTGTCTCCCCTTGCTCCCCACCTCTTTTTGTGAAGATCAATCCTTCGACAGTTAGCCCGGGTAGCCTCAAGTATACGCTCAATCAAGGCAGGTGCCACGAGGGAGTAACATTCAAGCTTTAAAACCCCTGCTGGGAAATCTTTTTCGAGTCGATAAGCTTAACTCGTAGCTTCGTATCAGAAACCTTATGTACGCTAGCTTGGAAGTCTGACATCCCTAGGATGTGAAAAACTGTTTGGCCAGCCAACTCCACTGCGAGAACAAATTGCCACATTCCCATCTTGGGTTGAAGTGATCCATCGAGACCTATTCCAGGTTGCATGATGGGTGGCGGAGACTTTTTGGAGATATGTCTTCTTTGCACCCACCACCGCACGCGAACAATGAAGCCAATATTTATCAACCCTAGATCCTTGTCCTATTCCTTCCATAATTTGCTAGCTTAGCTCAAGTACTTTCTCCAGCACCGTAGGCCACATCAAAACCCTCAGTCTGAGTTGCTCCGCGGAGGCACAAATTCCTTCAAAACAACTCCGCGGACAGCGTGGCGATACCCACCCATATACTGGCAGCAGAAGACCGGGCTACCATGGAACTGCGGCCGGTGAGCGGGCCCGTCCCTTTAAGCAGCCAACACGTGGGAATGACCAGCAATCCCAGCTACCTACCCGACGATATGCGGTTTGCGGGAAGGTTAACGGGAGAGATCGGAATCGATTTGGCCGATGTGGAGCTGAAGGGGTCTGGCTCTGCCTCAATGTCTCCGAGCCAAGCATTTCTTCGAAGGTAGTTCTGACTGCGTACGTGTCTCTGCTACGACAAGTGAGCAGATTCCACATGTTTGTGCTACGGTGCAGTCACGGAGCCGCTGTAGAGGCTGGTTCTTTGGTTGGCTCAAAGCCAAGCAGGCTGTCGCGGCGAACAGGGATGTCAATGAAGCTGGGACAATCACTTTACTTATAGCTGACACAGAAAGTACCCTTTGAGGTCTGTAGTTCGGTGCTGCTCATGCATGTGGGTGGCACTTATGTTCGAAATGTACGAGCTTCTGATGACGTCCTGGTTCTGACGTGTTGGACGAGGGCGGAGGCCATGCTCCGACTTAATTGCCTTCTCGTCGATAACGTGATAGCTAGAAGTGGCCTTCTGCCATTCTTGTGTGGTGTGCCCGGCCAGGAATGTACAATCGGCCGGATGGCAAGCCCTCTGACAAGGCTGCTCTCTGGAACGAAAGTGACAATGTCTGCTCAAGCATGGAAAACTCGATTCCCGGTGAAAGCTTTTCTGAAAGATACGTGGCCGTGGTGCGGATGTCCAAGCCCTAAGTCCTCCGACCTCCGATAAGTGAGACAAACCCAGACCAACAGGTGAAGGATCTTCTCGAACGGTGCTGAACCTGCTCAACCTTCTCGGACACTGTCCGTAAGTGGGTCCTATCAATCTTATCAATCGATGCCAAGATCTGAGTCCTGCCCAATCACCATGTTTCTCGGCGGAGACTATACGACAACGTTGGCATAGCCAAGACACCAAACAACAAAAAAGTGTGGAAGCTCCCCTCCCTGGAAATCAGGGCCCGAGAATCGGATGATTGCCAGAAAATCTAATCTAATTAAACGTGTCTTGGCTGGATGACCTCCAAGCGGCGAAATACCGGGAGCTTTCAGGAAGAAAGTGGTCTGGACGTCTCATGCCATATAAAGATGGACTCACGACCAGGGTCTGCCCGCACCTTCGATTGCGCTGATCTTCTCACATTCACATTCACTTTCTCATCCAGAACACAGATTGTCTGTCTGTCTGCAAAATGGGAGTAGAAAAGGACACACCTCAGGTGGTCTCTGAGGAGCCGGAGACTACCTCATCCTTGCAATCGTCCAAGAGCCCTCGTACAAATGATGTCGACGGAAGGCGACCACCACCTCTGGTCGCGAAGCTGATTGCTGTCATTGTTATCTCTTGCATCAGTTTTGGCTCCCACTGGAGCAGCGGTGTCACCGGTGCCATGAAGAGCACAATCAAGAAGGTTTGTCATCCTAGCCAGGGTCGATTATTGTTTTACTGACAGATTGTAAAGCAAATGCATGTGACCAATACTCAGTTCTCCCTTCTCGAAGCCAGTGAGAACTTCATGGCCACCCTTCTGCTTCTCGCTGGCGGCATTGTCACGGATCGAGTCGGTGGTGCTCGTATGTTTGCTGATCCCCTCCAATGGCAATGACCCTAACCTGCATGCCAGGAATGATCGTTTATGGAAATGTCGTGTATACCATTGGTTCAATTCTGGTGGCTGCTGCTACCACAGTGCGCTCATTTAGATTCATGGTCGGCGGAAGAATCATCCTCGCACTTGGCGACATTGCGACCCAGACAGCACAATACAAGATGTTCTCCTCTTGGTTTCCGCCCAGCAACGGATTTGCTTCCACGCTTGGATTCGAGCTCGCCATTGGAAAGGTATTGAATCATGCGCCCACACCACGTTGGACTCATCAAAGCTAACTTTGACTAGATTGGAGGGTTCGTCGGCAAGTCCACCGCGAACGTGATTGCCAAGGTATTTGCCCTGCAACTCTTGCAGCTCCATTGATCTAACCGTCAGTAGAATACTGGCAATTTTGCCTGGGTGTTCTGGACCTCTGTCTTCATGAATCTCTTCACGAACGCAGCCACCGTGTTCTTCTGGATATTCAACCGCTACTGCGAGAAGCACTACCGTGGTCGCGAAGACAAGGCGACCCAGGAAGAATTGGTGGAGAAGAATAAGAAGTTTGAGATCCGGAAGATGTTCCAGTTGCCTTGGATGTTCTGGGCCGTGATGGCCTTTTCGATGTTCCAAACCAGTACCGCCAGTGTCTTCAGCTCCAATGCGACGGAATTGGCCGAGAAGAGATTCAATGTCGACGCCATCAAAGCGGGCTGGTACAGCGCTTTGGCTCAATATGCTGGTATGCGTTTGACCCGGTCTTAGGAGGGCATCTGCTAATATGATTTAGGCTTCTTCCTTGTTCCTTGCCTAGGCGTTTTCATTGATATCCTCGGTCACCGAGCCTCAGTCTGTGAGTCAAGCCCTTCCAAAATTCAGCCATGGGTGTCCTCACTAAGACAGATGATAGTGTGCGTGTGCGGTCTCGGAATGTTCATCAGTATGATCCTGGTCAACTACGCCTCAGCGCAGCAGGGAACTGCCGCGGCGTTTGGTATTTATGCCGTCGCGGTGTCGTTGGGGCCGACCTCTATCATCGACGGTATCCGTACCACCCTCTGGCATCAGTCAGTGTTTGGGTCTGCGTACTCCCTGAAAGTGACGATGAACAATGCGTACGTTTCTCAACGTTCTCTAAACAGAATGTCCTCTAACCCCCCCTTTTTTGTTCCAGCATGACCATTATCATTGGTATCATCACTGGTGCCCTCCAGGATGCCGATAACGATTCCTACCATCGCGCCGTGCGGGTCTATCTCTTCCTGGCGGTCTGCTGCGCCATCGTCTCAATTGTTCTCCTGATCGGATCCTATGTGGGTAGAGATCTGGCGCCCCTGCAATGGTCACGGAAGAAGCGTCATGCTTTGGGCGCGGAGTTCTTCGCGATGCTACAGCAGCACCACCTCGTCGAGCATTACGAGCGGAGCAAACGCATCTCGATCGGGTGTTTCACAGCCTTGTTGCTGCTCACGCTGGGCAGTTGGGCTGCGTATATATGGGGGGCCGTGACGGGCAACAACCCATAATTGAGAAGAGGGGGAGCGTTCGCAGCCTTGTCATAATGGCTGTCAGATGATAATAAAAGTCCGCAATAGTGTTTAATGAAGTTCTAAGCAGTGTTTGTTGACAAGTAGAGAGTAGGTTGATTCAGGTTGACTGCGGGAATTCCCGCGTGTGTCCACTGAGGTGTGTCTTTGTTCGGGCTCGATTAGGCAGGCGTGCCATTCTCCCGAGTCCCAGTCCGATCTCGGTAAGCTCAACCAGTTCCTGCTGCCAAGATCCGTGCTCTTTGTCTTCGCCCCCTCTATTGATCACCATTATCAGTCCTTAACGGTGCTTATTGAGGCCTGTCTTTGTCATCTTCTCCAAGTCACTCTCACATACAAATAGATACCAAATGCCGTTACTTCCCAAAGAAGGTCTTGGCTGAATGACCGCAAGGGTAGCAAGTCGTGAGATGCTGTACTTCAAGTAGCAGCACGAGATCAATGGCGATGGACAAGATCTTCCCTCACCACCACAACTACGAGCCTGTTCCCAAGACGGAGAACAGCGGTGATGGCACCACCACCACCATAATCGGGCCTGGCTCGCGCCGCCGGCACTCGATCCAGCAATTCCTCAAGCGGAATCTGACGGCCATCACGATCTCAGGCCTTCTCCTGGTCCTGGTTCTGCTCGTGCTCGCCGTCATCGCGGCCATTACCATCGAGCCGTTCCGCCAGGTCCTCGTCGTGAAGCTCTCGTCGTCCTCGTCGACCATCAACGGCCAGCGACAGTGCTTCTCCACGAACCGCCACACCACGCTCTCCTGCGGCAACTCCACCGCCGAGGCTACCAGTTTGGGCTGCTCGTACGATCCTTTGTCCGCCTGCTGGCTGCACAAAGACTGCCCCCATGACTACTCCGAGGACTTTGCAACCTTCAACGACGGCAAGCCCTTCCAGTACTACTACGACCACGAGATGCAGCACCCGATGAAGGATTACACCGAGGTCGGGAACAACGAGCAGGGGTACTACTTCACGGTGACCCGCGAGCATCTGGTGCACTGCCTCTATCTGCTTCGGCGCGGTCATGATGTTTACAAGAGAGGGGATCGGGTGGATACCATGCTGGCGGATTCGGGCCATGTTGCCCACTGCGCCAATTTCCTGGCGGATTACCTGCGCCGGCCGGACCCGTATCTGGACTCGTTGGGGACGCAGGGGCAGACCAATTGTTTTATGTCGTGTAGTTAATTTATTGTTGAGTCTTGCAACAGGAGTGGAACAGTGGAATGAAGTGTTTTTTTCTAGTGGGAGCTGTTTTCACATTCTGATATTCATGGCGTAGACTAGACCCAGGCTCATTTGGATTTCATATAATCTATTCTTCCATCATGTCCACGTACAGAATAGCTCCTTTGTTCGAGTACCCAATGCATCAGTATTATGTGTTTGAAAAAGCCTTATGCAGAAACATAAAACACGGCATGGGGACTGGCGTCACCACTTTGTAGGGAAGGGGGCTTCTACCCGGTCATACAGCATTTCCAGAACTTCATTTGCAAAGTTTTTCCGAGATTCTTAGAATGCCTACCTCATAAGTTCCAGAAGAACTAGCTTTAGAGCCACTACCTGTGCCTCGAACACAAAAGAGAAGCGGAGAGAGGCAACCTCACATCTCCATCGGTACTCCTCCTTCTCCTGGATGCTTTCCTCACAAGGTTGCTCACAGGCTCTGAGAGTGTGTCACTGAGAGCATTGCAAAGCTGCACGGCTATGATCCTAGCTTCGTAGCGTGTACTTGCTTTTGGCATTGTTCCTCAAACCCTTTTCGTGGGCAGCAAAAGACTGGCCAATTGGCTCGCCGCAGTCCGAGCGGGTCCGCCAGCAGGGCATGTATTCACCGGCAAGGACAGTCTCCTCCCTGAAGCCGTCTTGGGCAGGGTTGCAAGCCCTTACCCCGTGTGACAGCCCGTCCTGGGGTGCCCGGGGTTAAGCGCATTCTGCAATACATGTTTTGAGTATCATCAACCCGCCCGTTGCTGCAAGCGTGATAAGTAACGCCCCCCATTCAATCACTTCAAGTACCGATAGGTACTTTCTTTCGCAGCGTCCAGCGAGTAAAAGCTCCCCGGGCCTAAACTCCATGGCAGGGCAGCGGGATCCTCTCCGGACCCGGAGCCCAGCTGCGGTTCTGGAAGTCGTTCGCTCTGCACGACTGTCCCTTCACTACTCTCATCAACCCGCCGGTAGGTGCACTCTCTTCCCTTGATCCCACATTCTAGACACGGGTTCCCCCCATCACAGGCCTTTTTCAGACGCGCACATGCATCGCATGCATGTCGTTCTTTGCCGCCTGTTCGGGGCTCTGGGATCGCATACCCGGCCTGATGGCGCGCGGGACAGGTCTTCCAGTGTCGACGAAGGACGTCGCTGTGTTCATTAATAGTGAGCTCGAGTGCGAGATGAGATGAAAACTCATAAAAGAAGCGGGCTCACCCTCGTCTGTAGCGAGAGGCGCAGAAGGGGCACTGATACGGTTTGTCTGCGCTATCTGCTGTCGGTCAACAAAGGACTACTTTGTGCTAGAGGTGGAGGGCAAGGAAAATGTACGGGAAGTGATGTGGCGCTTGTAGTGGTCAATCCGGTGGAATATTGCATCGCAGGAGGCGCAGCTCCATTTGGTGGGTGGATCTTGTGTCTCCGCGGATCTGGATCGTGCGGTCATGGTGAAGCTATGTATGTAGACTGACAGGGTCGGCAATTAAACTTGACTGAAACCGGTAAGACCTTTTGGTGCCTTACTTGGCCAAAAGTAGTCAAGAGCACAGTTATGGTGAATGGTGAAAGAGAGTTGGAAATGTCGGCGTCAGCAGTGGCGGGGAAATGTGGGGGAATCCCGCCGGGGTCCGATCCATGCAAACAGAACTACAAAGAGATGGAAGTAGGCAAGTAAACTATAACTACGTTATTTCCGGGATTCCTCCACCAACTCTATCAGCGGGATCCCTCCACCTCTTCGCCTTCACCAGGCATATATAAGAACCCATCTCCTTCAGCAGAGATGCGGCTTACTTGGTCCTCAACAGCTCCTGCTTCTTAGCACAAGCATATCTTAAACAATCCGATCTATTCAAGCAATCCCCGAGCAAACATGACCACCACCCAGAAAACTCAGGCTGAAGACCACTTCAACAATTGGCCCAACGTTCAAGGCGTAAGAGCCTCTACTTAGAGATCAACGGCTGAGACTAATGATACTCCAGTTCGATGCCAATTACGAAGTCAAAGACCCCGTCGAACTCCCAGTGGAGGGTATCATTCCTGCCTACACGGCTGGCACGCTGTACCGCACCGGGCCAGGAAGTTACAAAGTCGACACTGAGCAGGGGGAGACGGTCGAACTCAGCTACTGGTTCGATGGATACAGTCAAACCCATCGCTTTCAGCTCGTCGCCTCTGATGCCGACCACCCCCTGCGAGTCTACTACAACTCTCGCTTCTCGGTAGACCACCTGATCGAAGAAACCCGCAAGTCAGGGAGCCTAAAACCGACCACCTTCGGCCAGAAGCGCGATCCCTGCAAAGCCGTCTATGACAAGGTTCAAACCGAATACGAGCCAGCCAGCCAGTCGACTCCCCCTCACCCCGCCGCCGTGAACGTTGGGGTCACTTTGTCGGTCAATATGCCCGGCCTGGGGACCGAAACCAGTGACCGCTGGGACACGTCGACGGGGATCAAGACCCTGTGGGCCAAGACCGACTACAACATCTTCAAGCAGCTAGACCCCGTCACCCTGGAGCCCCTCGGTCTCGCCCGCCAGCAGAACCTCCATCCCGACCTCACGGGCGAAAGGGCCGCCGCGCACGCCCGCTCAGACCCCAAAACCGGCGATGTCTTCAACTACAACCTCACACACAGCCGGGAACCCACGTATCGCGTCTTCCGCACCTCCGCATCCACCGGCGAGACCACGATCCTGGCGACCTTCCCCGCCACGCCCGCTTACCTGCACTCCCTCTTCCTCACCGAAGACTACGTGATCATCTGCGTGTGGAACGCGCATCTGGACGTCTCGGTCTTCGACACCCCCGTCCACAGCGTTCTCGACGCGATAGAGCCATTCGACCCCACCAAGCCCTCAATGTGGTATGTCATCGATCGCCAGGGCAGCCAGGGCCTGGTTGGCACATACACCGGCCCGCCCTTCTTCTGCTTCCACAGCATCAACGCCTGGCAGGAACCGTCCGCCTCCAGCAGCAGCAGCGGAGAAGACATCGACATCGTCGCCGACCTCGTCATGTTCGACAACCTCGACTTCCTCTTCTCCCTGTACTACGAGAACCTGCTCTCCAACACCAGCCCCGCCAAAGCCCGCCTCGGCGCCCCCGGCCGCACCGACACCACTCGCTCCACCGTCGCCCGCTTCCGCCTCCCGCTCATCCCCGCTCCCGCATCCCCAAACCCTCACCCACAAAAAGCAATCCTCGAACGCACCACATGCAAACCCATCTCCCCCGAGCTCCCCACCCTCAACCCTAGCTACGTCACCCGCAAGAACCGGTACACCTACTCCATCGGCGCCCGCGGCGAGTCCACCTTCTTCGACTGCATCATGAAACTCGACAACGACCACCCGGAGACCCCGCAGATCTGGGTCCAGCATGCGCATTCCCCCGGGGAACCGATCTTCGTGGCGGACCCGCAGGGCACGAACGAGGATGATGGGGTGTTGCTGAGCGTGGTGTTGGATGGGCATTCCGGCAAGAGTTATCTGCTGTGTCTGGATGCGCGGGATCTGTCCGTGCTGGGGAAGGCGAGGGTCGACGGGCCGGTGGCGTTCGGGTTCCATGGGCAGCATGTTCCTTTGGCCGGGGGGATTCCGACGGGTGATTATTGAAGTATTTTGGGCACAGTCGACTGTCTTGGTTCGAAATGGTGGGGTGCTGGATTTGTTATCGTTTGTCTTCGTGTTTTTGTCGGGTTAAGGTTGGGTGCTTGGTGGCGATATCTGCTCTGCTTTGCAGGCCCAGTGAGCTCCTTAATGATGATGATTACGCTTTGTTTACTTGATTGCGTCAGAATGCTATGAATATAATCCCTCTTCTCATTTCATCCTACTACAGCCGCTTAAACTTCTTGAACTTTCATCTGGGTCATCTCTGAGAAGTCCCAAAGCCAGGCCTACTTCCACACACACATATGCACGCTTCCCATCTGATGAAGAAACCAGACTCATGAGTGCTCTCACCGCAACCGCACAAAGATCTCCACCAGAACCTCATTACTCCATCCCGGCCGCAAGCCCATCTCCTTATACGCCGCCAACACATCCACCGCCAGAACCCTGGCACCGTCCTTCCCATCCCCGTCACCATCACCATCACCTCGATCCCCCTCCTCCGCAGCCCCCACCTTCCACACCGTCTTCCGCGGCACCGGCTTCCCCAGAATCGTCACCATGAAGTTCCCATCGATGTCCCACCTTGGCAGATCTGAGAAATACACGCCCAATGTGCCGAGCGCCTTGAGGCTGATGTCCGCGCGGAGCCGGCCGTTGTTTTCGATGTAGACGTCCGAGTTGGCGAGGGCGGCGGCGCCGGTCATTTTGCCGAGAAGGCCGAGGACGGCCACTTTCGTAGTTGTTGTTGGTGTTGTTGGGTTTGCGACAGTTGAGGACGGGGATGTGTTATGCGGGGTCAGGGAGAAGGCGTGCGTCGGGTACGCGGTGAGGATCTCCCAGCCCCTGTGCTTGACTTCGACGGAGACCAGGGCTTTCGCGTCGGAGACCTGCAGGGTTTCGGCGATCTTGCCGCTGGTGTGGGCGCGGACGATGTATTCGCCCGTCGAGTCGGGGTGGATGCCCGGGAAGTCGCGGAGGTGGATGATGGAGGTTCTGTCTGCGCTGGAGATGTTGAAGAGTCCCAAAATGCCGCTGCCGGTGCGGGCCCAGCCCGTGTATGTGCCGACGCGCAGCACGTGGCCTTCGTTGTAGTCGTGGTAGACGTCTAGCGTGCGGCCGACCAGCCCGGGCCGGAGGATGACGGTCGCGCCGTGGATGGTCGGCGCGGTCATCTGGTCGATGAGGCCGAGGTTGTGCTTGCCCGGCTCGTCGGTGATGTAGATCGGGCCGCCGGAGACGCAGCGCGCGGCGGCGTGGAAGCCCGCGTAGGGGTGGCTGGTTTGGAACATGTCCCAGTCCGGCACGACGTTCAGGTACCGCGTCAGCAGAGCGTTGTGGGCGTTGCAGAATACGTGCCACGGGTGGGAGGACTCGATGTTGGGGAAAAAGTCGTCCGAGTTGCGGAGCGGGATCGTCGGTTTGTTGGTAGGCAGCTGGGAGTGGAAGATTGCCTGGGGGATCATCGACATGCACGAGATCGCCCGGGTGCTGAAGTGCTTCAGGGTCGAGATGGACCATGCATCGAGATACGAATTCATGAACCGCTTGCGGTCGGCGGGGTCTTTGATCAGGTCGAGGAAGAATTGCGCGTCGGCCTTGACCGAATCAACTCCCACCGAGGCGAGATAGTTGTAGAAGTCGTCGAAGAATCGTTGGATGTCGTCGGGGTCGATGGCTAGTAGCGACCCCCGCTCGAAGGCGTGCGCAATCGGACCTCCCGCTGCCGGGTCTGTGATCTCTATTCGCTTTGTCTTATACAGCTTTGCCAATTCACCATCGGGCGAGATGCCGCCCCAGTACCCCAACATGGCATGCCACACTGCGATATGATGGATGTTCGGATGGGTGGTCCGAATCTTCTGGATAGTCTGCTTGAAGCCCTTGGGGAAAGCATCCGGGTTTCCTTCAAACTGTTTCCAACCTCGGGTGAACTGAGAGTCGCCCTTGTCTAATGTCTGCCAGTTATCATCGATGATCAGATTGGCTATCTTGATGCCGTGCGATTTCAAGGAATCCAGCCCACGGAGGATCTTCTCCTCCGTCAGGTCCTGGCCCAGGCCATTCCAGGTACAGTACGTCAGACCATCGTACCATTCCGCCAGCCACTGGGCTTTGACATCCTTATCCTTCTCGACCACCACGATATCATCCCCAGGTGGAGACACCGGGGTTGGCACCCGGGTGGATTCAGCCGGCTCAGCATATGGCCGGGTCAACTTCCGAGCCTCGTAGATCACGGCACTCATCGCCACCTCGAAATCGTGCGCAGCTGCAGCCAGGATCTGAAACCTGGCGGCTTGTGTGCTATCATTCTTGGCCTTGACCACCACCGCCCCGTCCTCCCCAGAACCAAACAATGTCAGGACATCGTCCACCCCCGACACGGCCAAGAGAACCACATGCACCCCATCCGTCCGCAGAAACGAACACAGAATCGCATCTTCACTCAACGTGAAGCTCCCCTTCCCATGCCGTGGCCCCAGCCACGGGCTCCAGATCCGCACCAGGGCAAAATACCGCGCCACGGAGGCGGGCACCCCGAGCGAAAGGTTCGTGAGGCCCGACTGTCCCTCGCGCGCGGCAGTGACCGGCCCCGTGACGTGCCAGAGGTTGGACCCGGGCGCTTCGCTCCTGCGCGGCTGAATCGCGACGTATGAGGAGAGGCTTTTGAAGTACTTGGCGAAATCCGTCGCCGGCGCCGGCTCTTCTAAGTCAAAGATTGGCGTCTGGGCGGGGAAGAGAAGCTCTCCGTCGCTGATGTGTTGCTGCTGGTTGACCCATTGCCATTCCGCATCGGAGTTGACCCGGTACCTCACGGTGAATTGAGCATGACCCGGGTTTTCAGGCGGGCCAATTTCCCCGGAGAAGACGTTACGGAAGTAGTGGTACTCCTCTGCATTGCTGTTGAGGAGCGGTGCGACGGAGGAGTCGCATCTCTGGAGCGGCAGTGCTGTCCATTCGGTGCTCTCAGTGATATTGTGCCATACGTGCACCTCCCATGGTTGGATGGGGAATGTAGTACTGGACTCGAGGACTACTGTGAAGCGAAGCTATCTTCCCATTAGTGTCTCGAGCAGTGATCATAGTGTTCCCGGTAGAGGCTTACCGGCTCAGCGCTCTTGAGACATGTTATCTGACCCAAGGGGGGGTAGCTTGTTACTCGAGCGAACAGACTCATCTGGGCTGGCCGGGTGAATTTAACCTGGGACTTCTTGATATACTTGCGATCAGGCCCGCAGATAGGAAGAGTCGATCTATATCTAGTATCGGACTGCATCGGGTACTATGACAGCTGAAATTGTATTGTAGAAGAGGTAGTAATGAAGACCGTGGCTAAGTCACAATCAAGCATGGAAATAGTAGTGTCCAGTGAGTCCAAAGAATAACAATATTTGGATCCATGAAAGAGAATGGAGGGAGAATGAATTGGGAGTGGAACTGTGGAGGCAGCGGAGGTGGAGAAAGTCATTGGATGTAATGATGAGCTGGCCACGCGCGGGTGAGGGGAATCCTTCCCCCTCCCAATGAGCTTCGAGCTTCTCCTCCCACTCTATCCTTACCTAAGGTATCAATGCATCTCATTGCCAACAACTTCATCGCTATATTACACAATAATTGTCATTGTATATGTACGTTTGTACTCATACACTCGTATCTCCATTACTTATGGTCTTTGGCTTGGCTCTCTCTCATTTACTCGATCTTAATGGCCAACTTGCCGAAGTGCTTCTGGGCCCACTGTTGCTCTCATTAGTGACTTTTCAACCACAGTCAGATCAATTGATATAATCGACTTACCATGTACTCATAGGCCTCCTTGGTCTTCTCGAGAGTGAAGACCTGCTCGTCCACCACCGGATGGATGTCATTGGCCTCAATCGCCTTGACCATATCGTTCATCATAGCTTTACTGCCGACATAAATACCCCGCACCGTACAGATGTTGCTCAAGGTAGCAAGCACCGGGGGCTGCGACTTAGGGTCGACACCTCCCACAAATCCAATGATGCTGATCACACCCTCGAACTTGATGCACTTGAAGCTCTGCTCCAGGGTACCGCTGCCGCCAACCTCAACAATGTGATCGACACCAACGTTGTCCGGAGTAAGGCTGCGGGCAACCTCACCCCAGTTGGACTGGGTCTTGTAGTTGATGATGTGGTCAGCGCCCAGCTGCTTCAACTTCTTGGCCTTCTCGTCCGATGAGGTGGTGGCAATAACTGTGGCACCAGCGGCTTTGGCAAACTAGATCTCCCGTGGTTAGTTCGCTGGGAGATGTCATGCTCGGGCTCAACCACCTACCTGCAATGCGAACATGCTGACACCGCCAGTTCCCTGTACCAACACGGTTTGTCCGGGCAGCAGAGGTCTAAGACCATACAGAGCGTTCCAGCTCGTGAGCGCGGCGCACGAGAGCGTGCTGGACTCGATGTAGTTCAAATTTCTGGGGGCTCGGACGAGGCCATTCTCGTTGAAGACTCCATATTCACGGAGGCTGCCATCGATTACTCCACCAAGGCCGGAGCTGGTGCCTTTGGAGTCGATGGGATCGTACTGGTGCAGCTGGTTGAAGAGAGTGACCACCTTGTCTCCTTTCTTGAACTGGGAGACCTTGGAGCCCGTCTCGACCACCTCACCGGCACCGTCGGAGCCAGGTACAACTGGGAAGCTGAGAGCGAAGGGGTAGGATCCCTGCAGCAGTCCAGATCATTAGCTGAAGGTACGATAGCAAAAAGCAGTGACTGGTCCCATATCATGACGGCATACCTGGGGAATGATCAGGTCGCGGTAGTTGAGCGAGGCAGCGTGAAACTTCACCAAGACCTCATTCTCGCCGACCTTGGGGACAGGCGCTTCGGCGAATTTGAGGGCGTTGAAACCATCTTCCTTGTTCTGGACAGTCCACTGCTTGTGAGTCGAGGGGGCCATATTGTCTGATGAAAGCCTAGTGAGCTGCGCAAGCAAAGTCGATTGTGAGAAATGAAGTGCTTTGATGTTCACTGAAACTGGCGAAAATAGGTTGGTGGGGGAGCTGTTATATGGAGACACAGCTCTGGATGATTGACGTAAGAGGGCGAGCTCCACCACAACTCAAACCGTATGATTAATAAGTGATAATTGAAGCATTAACGTTCAAGAACGGTCCGATAACCGTCCGAGACGGAGACATTCAATCCATTGGACGAATCAGTGGCTTCATAGCGTCTTCGAGGCGGTTCTCCATGCTGATAACCATGCAAAGGTCTTAGGCAAAGGTTGCAAGATACCGCGGGAGAGTGGAGATGGTTCTGCTTCGCCGGTTTTTCTAGAATGCCGAGCTGGGCCGACAATGTTAACCAACTGTGCTGAACATTGAGGGGAGATGCATTTTGAGGCTTTCGAGCTTGAGACGATAGGCAATTTGCAGGAAAGTGCTTTCTAGCAATTGGCAAAGCTCCAGCGCCCTAGAACAAAATATGAGTAAGTTGAAAGAGTGCGATGCAGCCGGCAGTTGTGAATCTGCTGAAGAATCTCTGCCCCACTCCGCCGTCCTTCCCTTTCACCCGCGAACCACCAACCAAACCTGCCCGCCAGCAACTTGTTCCATGCATGGGATGGAAGCATTTGGATTTGTGATCGTTCACAGTCTTCGTTCAGGGTCGTTGAATAGTATTCCAATTTGCTTATTGTCGGCCATTCTGAGCCTTATCAAGACAACACATCTCGCGCATCGCGGCAGAAGTGCAATCGGTCCAACCCGGCGGGGCAACATGTAAACAACTGCCTATGCCATGGTTGGTGGGTCAAGCGTGCCCAAGTTCACTGTGCTGAGCTTATCTCGATTTCTTGAGGTCGCAGTTATTGTAATTGTTCCTTGTAGCAAAGACGGGAAATTCCGAACTTTGGATGGAGAGAAATGACGTTTAGCCTCAAGACACGAACCCCTCACAGCGAGAACTCACCGTTATGATCAATTTGCGCAACGGGGAGGATATTCTCCATCCTATACCAACTGGTGGGGAGTTATTGTCAAAGATAAATGATATTCCACCATGAGAATTGCGCAATCGTCGTATGGTGATGGGATGGATCGACAATGGTTAACCATTATAAGGTAGTGTCTCATAAAGAGGTAAGCGCTTGTCAAAAAGGATGGAGGGGTAGTCAACAGCCTTAACTGTAATCATTCTAGCCCGCTTCTTCCTGTCTTATCCGCTCCAGGATCAAGATAGATTTATATTGCACTTCTTGCCCACGTATAATCCAGACATTTCACATAGATCCAACAAAGCTTCCGTACGAACAAGATGTCCCTCGGACGTACCTTCAAGCTCAACTCCGGCTACGAAATCCCCGCCGTTGGCCTGGGTACCTGGGTACGTGCTGAGAGCTCCAGCGTCGCAAGGTGAATCTTGTTAACAAATGCAAGCTGTCCAAACCTCATGAGGTCGAAGACGCAGTCGAAGTGGCTCTGCGAACAGGATATCGTCATATCGACGGTGCCCCTGTCTACCGGAATGAGAACGAGGTCGGGAGGGGCTGGAGGAAATCGGGCGTGCCTCGAGAGCAGATCTTCGTCAGTCCCCGAGCCACCCTCGCTTGAATCTTACTCTTATTGATCTCTTAAGGAACAGTTGACTAGCAAGCTCTGGAACACGCACCACCGCCCCGAGCATGTGGAGGAGCAACTCGACAAGACCCTGAAAGACCTCCAGACCGATTATCTGGATCTATACTTGGTGCGATGGCCTCCTCACTCGAACATTGGCACCGTTGCTGAGAGACGATAGATCCATTGGCCAGTGGCTTTCGAGTATGCCGGGGAACAGCTGAAGCCTGTTGATCCGGTCACCAAGCGTTTCAAGTTGGCCAAAGTCCCTATCGGCGATACCTGGAAGGCCATGGAGAAGCTTGTCAAGTCAGGCAAGGTCCGTAGTATCGGAGTGAGCAACTTCACCCAGGAACATCTCGACGAGCTCCTCCAGACCGCGGAGATCCCGCCAGCTGCCAACCAGATCGAGGCGCATCCCTATCTGCTCCAGCCCGAGTTGATTCAGTATCTCAAGGACAAGGTAGACGTTTTCTATCCTTTGCAGTACTTTTTGTTATGTGGATTGAGCACCGCTGACCAGATACAGGATATCCTACCTATCGCATACAGTCCTCTTGGCAACAACCTTGCCGGCCTTCCGCGGTATTTATGTCGAACCTAAGGTCGAACCCGATCATTCACTGACCTGAAATAGTGTCATCGACGACCCTTTCATCAAACAGCTAGCCAGCTCGCTGAACCAAGACCCCGCCACATTGTTGATCTCTTGGGCCGTGCAACGTGGTACTGCCGTGCTATCCAAGAGCGTGACACCATCTCGGATTGAGAGCAATTTTCAGGGTACGGTACTCATATACTATGTTGCAAGCGAATCGCCATCGCATCCATGCACCGCGTGACTGACCGGACCTTCAGATGTCATCCTTCCCGAGCACATCTTCGAAACTCTAAACAGGCTGGATCGCCATTTGCGGTACGGATTTCCGTTCCAGTGGGGCCTGGACGTCTTCAAGGAGGTGGGCGCAGAGGAGACCGAGAGGCGAGCGGAGGAGTTTGCCGCGAAACAACGACAGCAGTCATAAGCTCCCCCCCTCGGTTTGGTTTCGGGAGGTCTGTGATATATATAGCGCCACTGACAGTAACCCCCTATGATGGCATATACTTCTCGAGAGAAAAGTCTACGTGTAACGACCCAACTCACTCTTGTCAGCAACACATGAGTTGTCTCCAGGATAGATAGTGGGTTAGACGTGCATGAAAATGCACCCATGCATGCAAATGCAAGCGGAACCAAACCACCACCAGCAAGAGTAGACCTCCGGAACGCACCCGCACAAAAATCCCCTCCACCCCGACAACAAACCCACATATTTGGGGAAGTATCGTCTCAATGCATTAAGAACAATCTTCCTGAGCCTTAAATCCCCGCATCGACCTGTAAATAACAAACACACCCGCCCTTCCACTCAGAAACAATGCCCACCACCTCCTCCCACCGAGTAACCAAACCACCCACCAACAGCAAGCGGGGAATCCGACGCGCATCCCGCAAACCAACCCAGCCAACATCAACATCACCAACTCTACAATCCCAATCCCAACATGAAGCCTCCCAAATTGAACCCCGAGATCAACCCAGTAAGCTTACCCCAAGCCCCAGGAACCCCAACATACTAACCCACAACCCCAGCCCCGCCACCCCAACCCCAACCAACGCAACCACTAGTCGAACGCACCAACGCCCTCCCCTTGGCCGAATTCATCAACCTCTACGTTCCCAAGGAAGACCTCCACATCACCAGTCAGGTCAACACGGAGGAGCAGCAACAGCAACAGCAACAGCACTACACCATCACACTCTACACCGCCGCAACGCTGCCGCCCACCCTCTTCACGCAATGCTTCCAGCTCATCGAAACCACCTCGGCAGACGCCTACCGCGCCTCCTCAATCGGCTGGTCCCCCCCCAAAAAGCGCAAGGAGATGCAGCTGCCCGACATCAAGTATCTGGTTCTCCGGCGCGCCACGCCCCAGTCCCGGGAGACGAGGCCCGAAAATGAGCAGGAGGACGAGGAAGTGCTCGGCTTCCTCTCGTTCATGGTCACGTACGAGGACGGGTTCGAAGTGGTCTACTGCTACGAGGTGCATCTGGCGGCGAGCGTGCAGCGGCAGGGGCTGGGGGCGCAGCTGATGCGGGTGTTCTTGCGTATCGGGGAGCGGCTGGGCATGGCCAAGGCCATGTTGACCGTCTTCCGGGCGAATGGGGCGGCGATCCGGTTCTACGAGCGGTTGGGGTTCGGGGTCGATGAGAGCTCGCCCCGGCCCCGGCGGTTGAGGAATGGAACAGTCAAGGATCCCGATTATCGGATTCTCTCGAGGGTGTATGCGAGGGAAAGATGGGCCACAGAGTGATGGGCTGGCTTTTCTACTGTACTGTGTATAAGACATAGATAGATTAATTTACACTTGCTTCACGTCCTTGCCCCGTACTTCGGGGTTGTCGTACTCCCATTCGTCGCGTAGGGCGGCGAAGATCGTGTCGGCCAGCAGGATGGAAAGCCCTAAGCTCCAGACGAGAGTGATGGCGTAGAAGAAGTTGGCGTTGCCCGAGCCGGCGTAGATCCATAGGTGATAAAATGCCGGTCCCAGGAGCGTGGCGTAGAGCAACGCCGAGACGGCGAAGAAGGTATAGCGCATTACTGGTTGCTGTTAGTTGGGTTTTCAAGCCACGCGGCGAATGAGCTACTCACGAGGGAATAGATGTCGGTACAGCGGGAGGAGTGCAAAGTACAGCGAGGCGTCAGATATGCTGGGGTAGGGCTTGAAGACGGCAAAGATTCCCAGCAGGGAGCTTAACACGAACAGAGGCTGTCTTCTTAAGCGTATCGTAAGACCGCCCATGTAGGAGGCCAAGTGGAGCCAAAAGACCCCGAGGAAGAATTCGCGAAAGGAGTCGAAGATCTCGATGAAGAAGTACCACCAAAGACCAACATTGGGCGTTAGGTCCGGGACAAGCAACTGGAACCCATATGTAGCAGAAACAAACGCTCTAAAGTCCCCAATGAGGAGAGCTGATATCCCAAGCAAGCCGGCAATACTGAGGACGAAAATTGCCAGGTGCTGAAGTGCGAAAACGGTAGTGCTGGGGCAGGTCTTGGCTGTCTGCGTACGCTGATCATAGCACAGAAGCATGAGTGGGATGTAGAGTAACGCCGGGTAGATCGATAGATACGAGGCAAAGCCCAGTGCGAGCATCGAATTGAAGGTCTTTCCGGTGACGGCACTAGAAAGCGCGTACAGGATTCCGATCGAGGTGAAGACCGCGGTGGACCGGCCCAGACATGTTGCGATGGTGAAGGGGTTAAACAAGAACCTGACAAAGTCAACCATGATATCCCCAAGGATGACCTCGTCACCTAGTGGTTTCCGTACCATGCTGCGATTGTCACCCCGTCCCACCTGATATGCTTCCGTATCGCCGAGTACGATCGCCCTGAGACTGCCCACCCCGACTCCGCAATTGTGATCAGGGCGTTTGCGTTTATCAAATCGATCAGAGAGTATAGCACGACCGTCGGAAAGGGGAAGCCTGGGGAGCTGGGCAGTAGCGAGAAAATCGGAAGAAGAAGTGGCGCCTTCACATTGTCAGCCCGATCTCATCCGCATTGGTCTGTTTGAGTGCCGTCCGTACCTGATGGAAGACGCCTCCATCATAGGGGGAAACATTGCGAGTATAGAGAAAGAGACCTTCTTGTACTGCGAGGGGTTAGATTTCCATCACACAGGGCAGTCTTCTCCAGTTCAAGGGACTAACGTCGTTTGAAGCTGGTGACCGGGGTTGAGACCTCAACTCGGCCAGTCAACAAGTCGGGGAGCGAAGGGAACAACACCAGTAGCAGAAGTCGCAGAGCAAAAGCACCACCGAAAACGGCAGCTTTTCTGCGATCAACCCCCATACTGTTTCGTATCAGAGGAGATATCAGAGCATGCCGGAAGTGGCATGCAATTGAATAACAGCAGCGCGGGGGGAAATCAGATTGGTGTTAAGTGTTGTTGTTGGCTTCACGTGCCAAGCGGAACTCCGCGCATTGCCCTTTTCCGCCGTGCACGGACCACGTCCGCGCCGCTGCTCCAAAAAAGAAAAGAAAAAAAAAACTTATCAACGATTTTTCTGGTTATCGGATCTTCCTTTCAAGTCACTCACCCCTTGATTTTTGATTCAATCCCCCCATTGCAAAAATGGCTAAGATTAAGAAGAAGGGTTCGCATAGCCTCTCTCTCTATGCGATTGATTTCTCGCTAATTTGAGACGCAGGAACCTCTGGCCAGGCCAAAAACTACATCACCAGAACGCAGGCAGTGCGCAAACTTCAGATCTCTCTGCCTGACTTCCGTCGACTATGTATCTTCAAGGGTATGGCTTCCCTCCGATGATACTACACAGATCATCTCGATCTATCTGTATCTTATGTCGTCTCACATGCTGATCGTTGCCACTTTATCGTCGGACAGGTATCTATCCCCGTGAGCCTCGCAGCAAGAAGAAGGCCTCGAGGACTTCGACCCCCAACACCACTTTCTACTACACCAAGGATATCCAGTATCTGCTGCACGAACCCCTTCTCCGCAAGTTCCGTGAACAGAAGGCCCTTGCCAAGAAGATCGCCCGCTCCCTTGGCCGTGGAGAAGTCGGGGATGCTTCTCGCCTGGAGAAGAACCATGCGCCGAAACTTACCCTCGACCATGTCATCAAGGAGCGCTACCCGACTTTCATCGACGCCCTGAGAGACCTCGACGATGCTCTTTCCTTGCTCTTCCTCTTCGCCAACCTTCCCTCTTCTGCCCACGTTCCTCCCAAGACCATCGCTCTGTGCCAGCGCCTGTGCCATGAGTTCCAGCACTACCTCATCACCACCAACTCCCTGCGGAAGTCCTTCCTCTCGATCAAGGGTATCTACTACCAGGCTACCATCCAGGGACAGGATATCATGTGGCTGGTGCCCTACCGATTCGTCCAGCGCGTCAACGGCGATGTCGATTACCGTATCATGGCCACTTTCGTCGAATTCTACACCACCCTGCTAGGATTCGTGAACTACCGCCTGTACTCCACTCTCGGTCTCAGATACCCTCCCAAGTTCGATACCCGCAGTGACGAGAATGGCGCCGAGTTGGCGGCTTTCACCCTCGAGGGACGCTCGGTCGGCGAAGCCCCCAAGGCTATCGACGCCAGCAAGCAGGCCAGCAAGTCTTCCAACCAGGAGGTTTCCGGTGACGTGCAGGCCAAGGTCGACAAGGTCATCAAGAGCGCTGGTCTGGACCAAGCCACGGAGGAGCAACCCGCCGAGGCGACCGAAGAGGCGACCGACGCCATCGACAAGTTCGAGCCCGCCGCCCCCGAGGCCGACACCCTTCCCCAACCCGACCTGAGCGGCGAGGAGGCCGGCTCTCTGTTTGCGCCCTTCGTCTTCTACATCTCCAGAGAGGCGCCCAAGGCGCCCCTGGAGTTCATTCTCCGCTCGTTCGGCTGCACCCGCATCGGTTGGGACGCTGTGCTCGGTGACGGCGCCTTCACACACGACGAGACCGATACGAGAATCACTCACCAGATCGTCGACCGTCCTTCTCTTCCCCAAGAATCGCTTCCCGCCGTTCCCGCCGCCTCCGCCGAGGGTGCCGTCCAGAAGGTCAGACCGGGTACTCGCATCCCTGGTAGAACCTACATCCAGCCCCAGTGGGTCTGGGACTGCATCAACGAGGGCAAGCTCCTTCGCCCTGATCTGTACGCACCCGGCGAGACCCTCCCCCCTCACCTGAGCCCGTGGGTCAAGCCTACCAAGGGTGCTTATGACCCTCGCGCCTCCCTAGCTGAGCAGGAGGAGGAAGGCGAAGCCGCCGCTGCCGAGGAAGAGGACAGCGACGAGGAGATGGAGGAGGCTGGAGATGAGCAGGCCGCCGAGGTCGAGAGTGAGGAATCCGAGGCTGAGAGCGAGGAGGAGTCCGATATCAACGGTGGTATGGACGTCGCGGGCACCGACGACGAGAGCGAGGAGAGCGAGGAGGAGGCGGAGGACGAGAACTTCGGCGGATTCGACGACAACGAGGCCGCCTCCGAGTCCGAGGACGAGGAGGAAGCGGCCCGCTCCCAGCACCAGAAGGAGCTGGAGGCCGAGGCTGCGGGTCTCCCCTTCACGTCCGGCGCGACCGGCGAGACGAAGAAGAAGTCGCAGACCAAGAAGATCGCGTCCAAGAAGCGCAAGGAGGAGGAGGAGCTGGAGCGCCAGAAGA